AGCAGGAATAGAGCAGGTATGCTTGGTTTGACAGTGCTTCCATCAGTGATCATATCAAGATATTGACTGTCATTATCTTCTGCATTATCAGCAATCAGAACAGCTTTGCCTCCTGCTTCCTCCACATGTCGGGCCTTTTGTACAAAAGAGCAACTTCTGGAGAGCACACAAACACAGAGAAAGGAATGAGGAACTACTCTCACTACAACTGAGTCTTTGACACCCAACAAACTGTTTCATAAGAGCAGTCTGACATGTGCATAGTTTGCAAGAAAACATTCAAAAAGTGTTCGGTTTACTACAAGTTGAAGAGGCATAATTTGACATGCAAATCACCTATACATACAAACCCTTTGTATGACAAATGATTTACAGTGAATATTCAACATTTGACAGAAGCCAGACTAACAGCTCACTGTTCAAATAACTCTACAACTGAGAAAAAAAAACACACTTAGGGTTATGAGGGTATAGTGAAAGTCAATATCACATGTTTGCCCAGCAGTGTCCAACCCAAGTAAAACTCAATTTATAGAATGTGGTTGTGCAGTCAGGTCTGTTAAACTGTGCTGACCCTTATATGTTAAACGTTTTTTCAGTTATTGCTGTTTGGGCAAGAACCAAGCTCATAGGAACAGGGCCATGATGCTCCCAGCTACATTTTGTGATGTACAGTGGTCCGTAGAGATGTTTTCCCATAAACAACCATTACAAAGAAAGAGCCGTACAAGAATGAAGAAAATTTACTAAGCATGCATTGTAAATATCGATCAGAGTTTAGTTGTAGGTCCAGTGTGAATTTAAGATGTCATGCAAAACCATATCAGCATTTTATTTTGTGCCAGTCATGAGTTCATGTCCATTTAAGATAGAAAAACTCTCATGTGCATACACTAAGCATCCAAAAACATGTTTTTTCAATGTATGTGCTCAGTGAGCAACTTTGATTGGAATGAATGGATATTGCATTGAACTGCCATCAGGCTCAACACATCCATGATATGAATAGGATACTTTAGTGAGAGTAGATTTGCCTTTTAAATTATTTATTTTATTCTACTGGTAAGATATAAGTTGTATGTACAATACAGCATTTCAACCTGTTCTCTGAAGGCTGTGATAGTACAGTCAAGAATAACATCACACCTAAGCTTTTGCCAACTGCCTTACTAACAGTCTACTCAAATATCTTCCTTTCTGACAGCCATACTTCTAAAACTCAAGCTTACAGTTCCAGTTTCCCACTACTGGCTTGTGTTGACATCCTCTATGGTTTATACTGGTGGAGCTGTAGGTACTATGAGATGTGTGCATACCCCCTTTCCACCAGGATTACTTGTCCCCGGATGGTGTCTCTGTCCGTTAGGTCTGAGCAGCCATCTGCTGGGTTTGCAGGCACCAGAAAAATCTCATCATAAGATGACGTCTTGCAACCAAAGGACAGACAATGAATTAGCTTAAAGGGTGAGTGTACATACTGTATGTGTCTAACGGTTGGCTGTCTTTTGGGCAACAGATAAAATACATACGAGGACTGAGTACTTACAAAATCTCCTCCAAAATCTTTAGCAGGTGCTGCACTGAAGATGTACCCTATCTCCTCTGGACTGATAACCCGGAAATAGAGTAGTTCATTGACTCCAAGACCTGAAGCGATCCAGAAAACACTGAGGCTACCACGAATAGCTTAACGTTACCTCAGATATATGAGGAACTGCATCATCAATATGACGTTAGTGTTGGTAACCATAGCAGCTGAGTGACATGGGCTTGAAAGTCACAAGATACACAGTAGGCTAGACATCATGACTAGACATGTGACTTAATGTGTGACTAATCGTGACGGATAAGTCACAACAGCTATAGTATGCTTCTGAAACCCGAGCCGTTAGCTAAATTAGCAGTTAGCATTTGAAACTTGCCTTTTCTTCTCACCTGACATGCGACTGAGCTGCATGAAAACACTCCAGATGTATAAAACTAAAGCCTTCGTGCAAATAAACTTTGCCATGTTCCAAGACATTGGTAGAGCTCCTCAACGTTACATAGTCGAGACTTCACTGCGGTTTGTATTTCACAGCGGTCTTTGGTCGACATATAGTAACGCTAGCGCTGCCATGGACGTAGTTAGCAACCATATCCGCGCTTCCTCTCGTGCGCATGCGTATGTTGTAAAGCCTAATTAATCTGCTACAGCACTAGGCCCCGCCCCACCCCCCATCTATAAACTAGCCTATAACAAAGCTCTGTGGAGTACTCGATTTGGCACTAGTCCCACTTGGTGCCTCTCAGTCTTTCTGCGAAAGATAATTAACCCAGTGTTTATTTAAGATTAGGCTATGGTATTTCAAAGACTCTTCTAACCATCTAAGTAAAAATAAAAATATTCAGTCAGGTACAAACCAATTGACTCACATAAATGTTTATCAAATTGCCATTGTGTAATAGGTGGGTTCAGTGGTTAATTGTAACAATAAAGGAGACAGTCATTAAATTGTCATTGAATTAAAAGGGCATTTATCCTGACTTTGAAATATCATGTGTAAAAAGGAGGGAATGGCTTGCATTTTTATTTCTCATGAGATTTGTTTGGTCATTTTAATGAAATGCTATTTGAAAAAAGCGTATTACTTTTATTAATTTGTTTAACAATAAAATTCCCACTACATTTCAGTTTTCTACAGCTGTTAAGAAATGAATGATAGTGATAGTTTCTCTGAATTCACCTTTCAAACAAAGAAATGCATAACAATAGCAATGAAATGAAAAACAGACAGCTTTAATAAAAGTTTTAATAAAAAACAATCAATCATTATAACCCTAATAAAAGTATATTGCATGATAGCCAAAGGTAGCATCAGCTTTAAGTACTTGTATTAAAAAATGGCAACTGAGTTTAATTCACAGAACAATACATGCAACCTAATGCCTTACCTTGTAGAAATTAAGTTTAAAATACTCACCATCCCCAAAAGCTAAATTTTTATTCAATTAAACAAAAGGTACAATGTAATACAAGAGGTGTTTGTATACAAGAACAATCTCAGCTGCAATGCATCTTTTCATTTGACATCTTTTTAAGATTGTTGGCTCCTTTTGGCATCTTTGTTCCTTTTTTTCAACCTTCTCTTTTTGCAGTCATCCAAGGATCCAGGTGGCAACTCTGGACAGCAATATTTTGTTTTGTTTTTGCATTTGCAAAGCTTACGTCGATTCGTTCTTACCTGTAATGAGTTAATGACAGATCAGGGTTTTAAAGTTGAATAAGGAACCAACTTTAATGTGTCTATGAATATCTGAAAGTCTCAGTTAATGGCCATTTTAAGTGCCATGTACACCTCATACATCTCTCTATATATTAGTACAATACAACATACAATCAATGCAAATGCATCAGTTTCTGTATAATGGTGTCATATACTGCTCAAAACTCAAGCCAAGTAAGCTGTATCATCAATTTGTCCTCTTCTTGATGAGCTGTCATCAAAAACATAGGTTTTACTTTTTCAAGGTAGGGGAATATTTAAACTAGTGTTGCATTTTGTTGGTGATTCAGCATGTCTAATAAAGTTTAAATGAAAATTATATGGCAAAAATGACCTGCTAATGTGACAATTGTATATACTATAAAGGAAAAGAATGAAAATATGGATAGAAACACAGACTTTAGATGGCAAATGACGGCATAATAGGCTTCATTTGTCATCTATTACAAATTGGGCTTTGAAAGTATATGCAACTATAATAAACGTTTACTGCATTTTGCTATTTGTTAGCTATAGTTGATGGCTTAGAGGATCTGTATTGTTTGCACAAGCTAATCACTGATAACAATGACATGTCATCTGAAAATAGGGGCATTTTACAATAGCTGACAACCACAGAGAAAGATTTTCTCATTGTTTGCTTTACTGTCTTAGTTGGAAAAAAACCTTCATTTTTATTTGTTCCTCTACTTAAAAAAATGTTTGATAACATTATTGTAGTTTTGTAACCCACATAATTGTGATTAGTAACTAAAAGTATAGCATCTAATTTTGCCTGGGATTATCTTAGTTTTACAATAAAATGGCATTTCCTATTTGAAATAGTTAGTTTTCCAATGAAACTCCATTACATATTAGTTTCACACAAGTGAACTCAGAAAGTTGCTTTGACCTCAGTTCAATATTAAGAAAAGCTTACGTCGAACTGACCATTACTCAGTTCAATATTAAGAAACACACACTCACTGACTAATCTCTCCCAATATTTTTTCCACCCTCATTTTCATAAAGTACAAATGTAACATTGTAGGGAGTTTTTGTTTGCACGTCAGTAGGTGTACACATGTCATGAGCAACATATACAGTATATGAAGAAAGAACATCTATAAGGAAGGAAGCACAAAGCTCTTTTAATAGCCATTTGTTTTGCACAGAGCTAAACCACCAAAACACCCACACCCCTTCACAGTAGTAACAGACAAAAATGAAATGTGTAAAAGTCTGTCTAATGTGGAACTGGACTCCTCTTGTTGAAATGCAAATTTAACTCCTGATGCATGTTAAATTATGTGCTATGTAGACTTTGTTCAATTTTAATGCCAAGAATTCCTAAATGACTAGACCCAATTTGTGAGATTTGATTCCATAGAAGCCCAACTGGTAGATACAGCTTCATATTGAAGTGGAGAAATGCGCTGTGCATAGTAAGCTGGGAGGTAAGAGTGACCATACCAATGTCTACCATATATATATATATATATTTCCTACTTCCAGTATTAAAGTTATCAGACCCCAGACTGACTTGGGAAAGGTAGTGCCTTAGTTAGCAAGAAATACTTTCCTTAAAAATGTTTTCGCATTACATCAATGATGGTGTTTGATTTATGTTATGTATTATTTAAAATAAATAATAAATATACAAAACACAAAAAAAATATATAAAAATTGGCATAAATAAAGTGTGCTCTAATAATCTTCTATCATAAAACAAAACTCTTGACATATTAATGAGCTTCAGTTGAGTGCTGTGTTATCTCTTGGCCAATGGGAGACAACCAGAACACACAGTGAAAAATAATAGGTGAAAGGACATGAGAGGACATTGTAGACATAAAAGAATAAGAAAAGAGCAGGAGCAGACAGTATTGCATTCAAATAATGTCAGTGGGTTACATTTTTCCAGGAACTCCACTGGCTCCAGGCTGAGCGCACCAGCGAGTCTCTGGAGCGAACTCTCAGCTTGCTGATCTTCTTCGGAATCAGGGCGGACGAAGAACGTTCAATCTAAAGTCAGACAATAAAAAAGAACACAAATAAGAAAACAAAGTGCAATACAGAGAATGATACGCATAAAGACATCACCAGACATTGTTTCACTGCAAGCTCCATACCGTGCCGTCATCTTTGAACACATATTCAATCTCATGCTCCAGACTGAAGAAGCTGTGAGGGGTTGACCAACTGGACGGTGCATTGATGGTCACATTCAGGTACTGCTCCTCCTCCTGACATTTGACAATCTGGGGACTGTCTGGTTGGACTGGCCAGGGGAAAAACAGAGTTAGAGTGTTACCAAGGAATCATAAAGGTGTATAATTATTTTGCTGCTATTTACTGATGGCTTTTTTGCATGGCTTTTTACATTTGACTTCTATACTTCTTGGCACTTGAATTTTAATGTTGCATTTTCAAGTTGTCACAGTTGTTTTTGTAGCTGTTAACAATTAAATTACTAATTTTACATGGACATCAATATAGATGTAGTCATTGTTAGTATAACTACACCATCAGAAAGTTATTTTAATGAATACTGTACTTTTGTACTTTGTGAACAACTTTTTGATTTTTGCAAATGATACTCTTTACTTCAAACATTGATAACCTTCTGTAGAATGCTCAGTTTCACTCATCTTACTAATGTCTCGCAGATAAAATCTCTTGGTTCTCCTGAGGATCCCAAAATCAGCAATGGCCTCAACCGTGAGTTCGAGCATGGTGCTTTCCTCAGCGTAGGGTGAGGTGGAGTGGGACAGCTCAAACTGGAATCCCCCATCACTGCCACTGACCCACTGACATGACTTCTCACCTTTATTGCTGCACAGACAAACAGTAAAACAAGACAGTAAGTGAAATATATACAGTAAGTGAGAATGGTACCATTCTGTCTGCTTGTTTGTCTGTGTCAACACACTGTAAACACACTATAATAGTTTGGCCTTTTTATTGTACTCTATCTGTATTTACCAGTCATGGCCCAGTCCAAGGCGCACTGCTGTGTATCCAGTGGAGGTCCACGTACAACTGAACATACAGCCATAGGAATTTGCTCGGCAACTTATGAGAGAATCTATAAAAACAGACAATGTGGGTAAATGCAAGTGTAATAGAAACTTCGTCTCACCAAAAAATGAAGAGAAAACATTGCTGAGTGTAATACATTTATGCTGGAAGTGCATTATAGTATAAATAGTTTAGTATGGTAACTTTCAGTCTCATCCTCTAGAGAAATATTATATGCATCCAGAGTTTCATGACTTAAAGAGGCCTTGTCAGTGCTAAGTTTGGATATAGTATAAGATCTCACCTAACTCGTCTCCCTCAACCTCCAGCAGCAGATAGGTTGATGATAACTTTTCTTCCCCTCTCCAGCAGCTGTATTCCCCCATCATGGGTGTACCTACATCTGACACAATCAGATCTTGACCGACCCGCTGCAAGCTGTCCTTAAAAAAACCATCCTTTATCATTCTGTTACGAAACCTCCATGTCACATTTTCGTCGGTCCTTGTACCACAGGTTAGGGTAACTGGATTGTCATCATTCAATTTTGCCACCACAACTACACAAACATGGATACAGGCAGGTACACACATAGGGACATGCACAAAAACATATATATTAACATGTTAGAACCACTGAAGACATGGAAAAATTCTTATTAGAAAAATATGTGGAACATAAATAAGACAATTTACAATTTTCTGGAAAAGAGTTGAGTCCATTTGCTCCTGTGAGACTGGTAAACAGAATCCCAAATATCCACAGTGACAAATTCTACAGCAGGAGGAGAAATATTTGAAAGTTACTGAAAATAATCCATTACTTGCATAAAAATTAAGTTATGATTTGTGAGTGATTAGCCATCATTAGTTAAGAAAGAAAATAAAAACCTGTTCATAGGAGATTTCAAAGCTGAATACTTTTATTTAAGAAAATATTTTGGAAAATGACTAGAATAGTAATGTAGGTAATCTACTACCTATTCTAACATTTACTATATACAATCAAAAGCCACATAATAGACCAGACTAGATAATAAGTGTAATTTTAAAAAGAAATAAGCATCTAATTCCTTGCTATGATCTCTGTTCCCTGTTATTTCTTACCATCTGGATAATGTTAGATGTCAATAGTAATCAAGAGCAGAAGTTCAGTCGTAGTATTTCGGATGACTGTATTCAACTGCCCTCTAGGCCTATTTTTATATGGTTGCACACAGCATGCATCATCAGTACCGACATCATGGCACCTCTGGAGGTGAGACAGAAATTCATCAATATAGCACACTAGTAAGACCCTATTAACAGAGCTGGCTGCACGGTGGTGTATTTCCTCTATACTGTTTTGCATGTCAAATCTGTGTTTAAAAAAAAAAACGGTAAGTTCCGAATAAGGGACTGAGAGATAGAGATAAGAAGTGTTAAGTGTGGGTGTTCACTGTAGTGGGGGATTACCGTTTAAGATAAAATACTGCAGAATATAGTATCTGACAAAAAGTCAATCTGAGAAACGCAACTAAAATCACACAAAACAGACACACTACGACATATATGCACATTTGATCTTCTGTCTTTATGAGAACTAAATATTTATTTTAAGGTGTATCCACTTTGTCTAAGCCTTTAAAAAAGTTCGCTTCAAATTAACATAATACCAAAGGAATACATACATGGAATAGATAGATATGTTATTATTCTATTTAGCTGTACAGTTTAATTTATGCCATCTAAAGATGATAGATTCTTCTACAAGAGACCAGCTGAAACAACTAGTTCAACTAACAGTTTTAAATCATGAAATTATTTCTGAGGTAAAATGCCAAAAATGTAAGTAGCCTCTTTGTTGTTTTTCCAATGAAAGCAAATTCATATGTTTAGTTATAGGATTGTTTGTTGCACAGGAATGAATGAGTATGGCTCTGGGAAACTGTGATCTATCTTGTCACACTTTACAGAGCTGTCAGATTAGTCTATAATAAAAACCATCATTATTTGCAGCCTTACATGACAGACTGTGCATAAGACATGCATTAATGATATTATTACTTTGATATTAAATCTAATTCTTAGTATAATACAGACCTTTTATATCTCAGAAATAACCAGTATTTTGCCCCATCCATCCACCTATGCACACACACACACCTTCACACACAGAACCATAAGAAGACATTTACAAAGAACATATTTTGCACATGTTTTTCCTCACACATATATAAATTATCTGATGCCATCAGGTGTTAAACTCTGCCTGAAAGAATTCCATAGTAAAAAAGCCTTGCAGTTCATGTTAGTATTTGGTGGTACAAGTCTCAGTCCTCTTAGAGTTTAGTTAAGGGTATCATACTGTATATTTAATAGAATTTACCACACATGGTGTAGCATGCATAAAGCAACCACGCTGCTGACCTAAAATTTCTGTGAAATCTGCCTGTGGTCACATGAACAAAAATTCAGGTTTCAGTTCTTCAAAAGTAAAAATGCGACGCAGCATTAGTCAGAGAGAAGACATCAATGCACTTGAAAAATCTCTCTGCGTAACTACAGTGATTGTGGTAAATGGTCACATTACTAATAATAATTTTTAACTACAAAAAGGTCTATGTTCACATCTAACAATTAATTATCACACCGTTCTAGAATTAAATACAGAGCATGTAAATGTAGTTGATCAACGTGTCATACATGCAGCACATGTTGCTGATGCTGACCTCTACAGTGGTCTGGGCCACGCAGGGAGACGACTGTGCTTGGTGGTAAGCATATTAAATAAAGTTTTACCACTGAACTAAAACAGAACTAAACAAGTAATGTGTTTATACTATAAACTGCTAATTTATAAAAGCTTAGTTTCATTTCTTTCTTTTTTTTACATTCTGTAGTATTTTTACATCATGAAGTTCAGACAGTTTTAAGTCACTCAACTTCTTTTTTCTGCTTAATCAGATGATTAAGTGTGAACACCGAGAGAGCCTCAGCCCATTCTGTGTTAGTTGGATATGAATTCACCAGCTGAAAATAGCGGTTTATACACAAGTCAGTACTGTGCCACGATCACTGCAGTCCAGCCAATGGAATAACCCATCAAGGCCTTCCAAGAAAAGGGTCAGTAGCAGTTTCAGTTTCCACTCTACAAAAACTACATTTAATCACTGCCACTTGCCACATGTACGAAGAAATGATTATCTCAGAGCAGATGACTGTTGGTGCCCCTGATTCAGAGAACCCTTGAACTCTTTCGTACAAGAAAGTCAAATTTTATTGTTTAACTTCCCTGGCTGAACAAACTGAGTATCACAGATAGGTACTCAGCTGGCAGTTTATTAGATACACCCATCTAAGAATTATGCAGCCTAATACAGTGGTCCTGCATTTAATCCTCCCTTCATGAAGGTGATGATGTTCATTTTATGTAGGAGTGTCTTAGAGAGGTGTTGATTAAACTGTATGGTCATTTTGGAAGATGTAGTTTGTGCTTCTATTCGGCTATACACCATAGCGCATTAAGGTGTTTTTGTTATTTAGCATAGCCTTGTTGATATTAATGGGGTAGACAAAATAATAGAAATCCCTGTAAATACACTGCAGTACAATTTAATGGCAACACAAACTACATCTTGAAAATGATCAGTGGAACCGACATCTCCTCAAAGCAATTTGAACATCCATCCATCCATCCATCTTCGCCCGCTTTATCCACAACCGGCTCGCAGGGGGCAGTAGGCCTCCCAGACTTCCCTCTCCCCACACACCTCCTCTAGCTCCTCAGGAGGGACCCCAAGTTACACCCATGCCAGCCGGCAGGCAGTCTCTCCAACGTGTCCTTGGTCTGCCCTGAGGCCTTCTCCCAAAGGGACATGCCTGGAATACCTCCCCAGGGAGGTGTCCAGGGGGCATCCTAAACAGGTGCCCGAGCCACCTCAACTGGTTCCGCTCAACATGGAGGAGCAGTGGCTCTACTCCAAGCTGCTCATGGGTGACTGAGCTCTGCACCCTATCCCTAAGGGTGCGCCTAGCCACTCTCAGGAGGAAACTCAGTTTTTGCCATGGTGACGACCAGAGCGGCATCCCGCTTGGCCTGTCGGTACCTGCCAGCAGCTTCAGGAATCCCATGAGTCAACCAGGCCCGATAGAGCTCCTTCTTCAGCTTGACAACATGCCTTACTTGCGGTGTCCACCACTGTGTTTGGGGATTGTCGCCCCGACAGGCACTGTAGACCTTATGGCCACAGCTCCCAGCAGCTTCCCTGACAATGGAGGTGTGGAACATGGTCCATTCGGACTCAATGTCCCCAGTCTCTGTCAGACCTCTCTGACCGGGGCCTCCACCAAAGATGTTCCCAACAGACCCTCACTATATGCTTGGGCCTGCCAGGTCTGTCCAGCTTTTTCCCCACCACCACAATTTGAACAGGTAATGAATATAACCACCTACCTGAATGCAGGATTTATTGGAGGACGGTTGTGTTAAACTGCATTAGTTTTAGCTTGGTGTACCACCAGAGCTTTGGAAATTTATAGATTTGGGGAAAACCTACAAGGTACTGAGCCTAAAAATTTGTTGAGCACCCTAGATGGAAAATTAACAACAGTTCCTTTTTCATAATCTTCATTGCAAAACTCTGTCAGTTCATTTTCCAGTGAAGGTATATGAGAAATAGGATTTTGTTTTTTCTTAGGTAATCACTAATGTCCCAGATATACATTTTTGAAATGGCTGACTAAAGTGCTCTGGCACCTGTGATTACACAGCATGAAAAACTAAGAAAAAGTGTTAAGTGGGCATCATAAAGAGGGGAGGCTGCACACAATGATACTGAGTAGGATACAGTACATCTACTGTACATAATCTACACTGGATGATATTTCTGTAATTTTTCAGCCTTCAGTATCATTGTACAGATGTTTGCAGTTTAACCAATGCTCCTGTAAACACAGGATTCCTAATGGCACTTCACATTTAACTGCAATCGTCTCTCACTTTCACATTTAAGATAACATTGCGTTTTGTACTCTGAAGAGACTAACATTTGCATGCACACATCAGTGCTGCTATGATCACGGGTCCAGTGTAGCCCTACACTTACAAACATGCTGCTTTTGCTGCACAGCCAGTAATGACAAGAAACTTTAAAAGGCTGAATATAATAAAACCAACAAAATAAATGTGATTTTCTATTTTATGATCAAATAACTGGTGGAGCATTAAAAAATGAGAAATTTAAATGTATTCTTTATTACATGATTAATTCCACTAATACATTTTCGATGTGAGGGCATCATGATGTAGAGGAGGCAGCGTGACAAAGAGAAAGGTTTGCACCTTCCACTGAATTAAATAATGTCACCTGAACAGCAGAACAAGGCAAATCAGACAAAATGGTAGGTAACAACTGCCAAAAAAGTCCATTTTAATTGTTTTAGCTCAACTGTAAAGGTTACAATTAAAAAAGCAACTTTTTTGTGGAGCCACACACCAAGATGAACATCTACAAAACGCTGCTGTGTCAAAGTACGGTGAGTCGAGAGGAACCTTAAAATGTTCGCTGGTGTTTGCTAGTCTGCCTCATTCTTTGAAGCTTCATCAAAGTTTTCAACAAGATCTAAAAATGAAAACAGAAGGGTCAAAAGAGGTGAAGGACAAAAACACAATAACAGAAAGAAAATGTCTCAATGAGCATAAAATTAATCCAACATATATATAAAACTTAATTACTAAATATTAATATAGCCAAAAATATCAGGCCTTTGACTCAAGTCATAGATTTGTTCAGTGAGAAAAGCTTGTTTTCTATTCTTATACACACATCCAGATAAAATAAGACTCAAGCTATGTTCACATTACAAACTGTAATGCTCATTTCCAATCTTTCTGTGTTGATGGTTCACGTTCATGTATCTGCTCAGCTACAACATATTCCTTCCAATTTGGCTCAATCAGACACTTAACCATAAATCCCCAACAAATGTCCCTGTATCTTGCTGCTGTTTTCCCCTCCATGTCTGTGAGGCAGCACACTGACTGATGACGTTCTGACAGCCTTTGCATAACCAAATATCAGATATGAACAAGAGCTAGGACCACCACTGGAAATGGCCCCAATCTGATTAAAAACAAATATCTTATTTGACTTGTTCACAGATTTGAATTACTTCAGCAGGTATTGTGAATGCATCATAAACTTATTAGACTACTAAGATCACATATGTTTCATGCGATTAATCATAAATGCAAATACCTAGGTCAACTTGTTGTGATCTGTTAATGAGTTATTTTAATGTTAGTCTATTGCATCATCAATACAAATCTTTGTTGTAAAAGGGCATATGTAAATTTGCTTACCTGGAACCTCATCATCTTCCTCTTCAGCAGCAACCATGGGGGTTTTGTTGTCTCCAGCTACGAGGTGAAAGAACCACAGTTCATTTTTGACAGACAGCACACAAAGCTGATACATGCAAACAGATCAGTAAAGGACGTTGTGGGTACCTGGTTTGGGCAGGGTCTCTGCTAATCTCCTGAGGCTGGTAAGACTGTCGGCACCCAGCTGGTTTAGGATTCCTGGGAGCATTTCTGTGAGCTGCTTGTTCTCAGCATGCCCTGTGATCGTAAAAGTGTTGGCAGCCAAGGACGCCTGAACTTTTGGGTTATTGAAATGGATCACTGTCCCCTGGTTAGTGAACATATTCACCTACAGTGAAACACAAAAGAAGGAACAAAGAGAAAGATAAAGATAGGCGGTTGAGGTCACTGCCAAAGAGGATGATCCAACAGCTGGGAAAATTTGGTGCCTAAACACCATTTTCAACAATGGATAAACTGAAACCTTAACTTTAAAATAAACAATTCTTTTATATCCTGTTGTTAATTTAGCTCATGCTGACTAGACAAAAACCGGTCACCAAATCAATGATGCACCACCATGCTTACAAACAAAATGTTTACAGCTTACATACATTTTTAGATCTAAAATAACACTGTGGAGAAATCATTGTAAGCTGTCAGTCAAGACATAAGACTTGAAGAATTTGTAGTTTGGAATGTTATTTTAAATTAAATTAATTTGTTTATATAGAGCTTTACAAAGCAGAAGATAACACACACACACACACACACACACACAAACTAACAAAAAGGAAAATAAACTAAAATTACACAAATTTGAAACCAAAGACTGTAAGCATCTATAAAACTTTACAATAAAAATGTGTCAAAGTACACACAGAATAAGAATACAGAATATAAAATCAGAAAGCCTGTAGGCACCTGTATATCACCACTGCTATAAATTAAGTGCCAAAAGCCAGTCTCAATAAGTGTGCTTTTAATTTAGACTTAAAAACCATTAGCTCAGTTATAGACCGAAGCTCAGGAGGCAGGGTATTCCAGAGCTTGGGGGCATATACGGCAAAAGAACGATCACCCCACTTTTTGTACCTTGCTCGCAGGACAACCAGAGACAAATGCTCAGAGGAGCGCAGCGCTCTGACTGGGGTATGAATAGTTAAAAGATCAAATAAGATGGAACACGAACATGAACAATAGAAACTTAAAATCAATTCTAAACTGAACCGGAAGCCAGTGAAGAGACTGAAGAACAGGGGTGATATGAGCATACTTTGGACTATTTGACAGTAGACAAGCAGCTGCGTTCTGTACTAGTTGGAGCCTACGGAGAAGAGACTGGTTAATTCCAGTATAGAGGGTGTTGCAGTAGTAAAGTCACGAGCTAATGAAAGCATGAATGGCTTTTTATAGGTCGAGTCGAGATAAAAGTGAAGAAGTTCATAAACTGAAACATCATTAACATGCACTACTTTGTTTTGCTATCTTTTCTTTAATAAATGGTTTAAAAAAAAACAGTTCCAGAACTGAAACACAGTAATTAAAAGGACTCACGTTCGCTTACGATACATCATATTTATTAGTCCATTATTAAGCAGGGAACCCCTGACCTCAGAGCATCAAGGTCATGAAGAAGATCTCTCTACATACTTGCTGCTATACATTTCAGTGAGAATTTGCAGTACCTCTTCAATGCCAGAAATGTTGTTGACGCCCAGTTTCTTGAGGGAGAACTGCAGTTTCTTGTCATCTGCTGTAGCCGTTCTGTGCACGACCTTCTTCTTTCTGCGGGCTGACCCCTGCAGAGCACAACAACAACATAAACCTATAACCCCAGGACAATATAAAGCATTTCCTTCAAATCATTTGCAAGTACAGATGGGTGACAAATGAAATGAAAACCCAACATAAAGTATCTTAGTAAGATGTTAGGCCTCCACATGCCTTCAGTGCACCTTCACATTGATTCTACAAGTCTCTGAACTGTATTAGAGGGCTGAACATGATTCTTCCAACAAATATTCCCTTATGTGATGTTTTGATGATGGTTGTCGACAGCGCTATCTAAAACATTAGCCCAATATCTCCTATAGGTGTTCAACTGGGTTGAGATCTGGTGACTGTGAAGGACACATAATCTAATTCACATCATTTTCATATTCATCAATGCAATCAGTGATCCCTTGTGCCCTATGGAGAGAGGCAGTGTCATCCTGGAAGAGACCACTCCATTCAGGATATAAATATTTCATCACAGACTCAAGAGGGCCACTTTGCATTGGTTTGCAATGGCCTTTTCCTCAAAGGGGACAAGTGGACCCAAACCACACCAATATCTGTTATGTTTCTCTATTCAGGTTTTCTATTTGATTTGTCACCTACGTTTATGTATTTCTACTTACCTTGCCGCCTATGCGGACCTGAGCCTGCAGTTTTGCGAGCTTCTCCTGGTTCATTATCGACTCCTTCATCTGACATAAGACAATCACATTAATATTTGCTCACAAGTCATTTTGGAGAAAAAAAAAATTCTCACCAGACACAGAGCTGGAAGACACGAAACCACCAACAGTCATGATATTAATGTCATTAAAACACTCCTACAGTTAGTATTGGGTCAATACTTGCACTAATCAGACATTCTTTCATGTTACTAATAATTTAATATTGAGATGAGAATCAGAGACAGAAATATGCTTAATGACACAAGTCCAAATTTAATGATTAACAAATTGGTAACTGATGACACTGTAAGCACATAATTTGTGAATTCAACAGTTAACTGGAAACGTTAAGTGCCAAACCTAAAACTCCCCGAAATTCCCCGAGTCGTTTAGCATTTGGCGCAGCAAACTAGCAAGAATGCGCTGCCGTCAGAAGCCCAAAATAGCAGCACACGTTATAGTGTCGACTCAAGTTCTGTATGAATCAGACACAAGTGGTCAGCCAGCTTGGCTAAGTCGGGCTCTTAACGTTCCCCAAAATGACGTGGGATCAGTTGGCTAATAACTTTAGCTACTAGCTTACTTTTCTACAGTACCCCCATGGATAAGAAGTACTGTTGTTTCATGCTTGAATTTTCAGCTTCAAAGCCAGAAAACCTAATGTGTTTTTAAACCATGTGTTGTTAAAATTATGAAGCCTCAACTGCTGGCTGGAAAGCAATTCAAGCTAAACAGCTAACTAGCTTAGGCCTCTTCAAACTGATGCTAGCATGCAAGTGTAATTTACGTTGTCCTCGCAGTTTAACGTGTAAAGTGACACGGGGAATTGTTCGTTATTTTCAAATCCAAAACTTATGAATATGGGACACAGTAAAAACACCACAGAGACATAAACCAACCTGGGAGTGTGTAAACACGCGGATCACACAGTCGACAGAAGTTCGGTGAAAAGGAGTGAAGCCCGGAAGTGTCGTACTCAGATCAATAATCTTGCCGGAAGTGCTCATATATTTTTAAAATGTGTTCCCATATCAGCTGCTTGCTAAACTGATTAAAAGTAGTGAACCCAGAAACATTTGAAAAGAAACATCACTATAATTTTTACGATAATTGATATGTTGCCCTATAAAATATACGAGTTTCCCACTACTATGTAAACAAGTTGTTCATCCATTGAGTGGACAATAAAGATATACCTTACATAACGGAAGTAGCACTCCTACATCCATCATGGTGTCCTCCTTTGCACCGAGAGGCAACGTGATCACTCATTAAAATGAATAACTTCTAGTTTACTTAGACAATCAGTATCGGTATCATCTAATTTCAGAACTACATACGATAACTTTGCGCACCTGGACCTTTTCGTCAAAAGGTGGGACTCATCAGAACGCAGTTTAGTAGAAACTATTAGCCTGCTTGCTAAAGCGGAGCGTGCTAAACAAACTGTGGTGTAATGTTACTGAACACGTTGTCAGCCATCTGTCTGATAAGCTCATTTTATATTATTTTATTAAAACCAGCAACTTTAACTCTTAAAAAGAGGTGTGCAGTAGATGGTTTTACATCCTTATGCTCAATTAAAGAAAGACTTTAGTGAAGAAATCTAACGTTACTTTGAAATAGTGAACTCCTTAGCTCAGCCTTCATGAATCGCAGTTTGGTGGGCTACTATGTCTGATTAAAAGTGTTAAGGTGAGCTGCAGTGTCATTCAGTCGGTGTTAGAGTCGATGCAATGGGAACCAAGAGAAAAATAGCTAAGCAATTAATTAGTCCAGGTGGCATATCTCTTTATGTTAAAGTCTTGTTTTTATTTCCTATATCCGACTTGTCTAGATAAAAACATTTCAGAAATGGCTTCATTTAAACCTACAAAAATCCAAGTGTATCCTAAACTTGGAGAGAAAGTCACACAAGACACGCTGTATTGGAAAAACTATAAGGTGAGACTCGTCTACTCTTTCCTGTTTTAAATAACTGGAAAAAAATGTCACTTTAAGTCAGAGTTACAAGTTACGTCCTGGTCTTGATGATGCACCTTTGTTTCTCCTCTCACAGGCTCCGGTCCAAATAAAAGAATTTGGAGCGATCACAAACATAGACTTCTCTCCTGTGGCCCCTCATAATTATTCTGTGACGGCATTCACAAGAGTATGTTGGTTTTGCTTGTATAAACACATGTAGCTTTTTGCTTAAGAAACAATTCTGGATCCAGTCAGTCTTTGGTGCATAGTTGAATATAAAGTATGCAACACGTTTGAGATTTCATCTCATTATCATACTGGCTTCTCTGCAGATCCACATTTATGGGCCTTTCTCCCAAGAGCCTGTGAAGACATTTACTCGGTTTAAGGACAGTGCTTACTGTGGGAGGTTCAGGTCTGATGGTCAACTGCTCGTGGCAGGATGTGAGGACTCTGTGGTCAGGCTGTTTGATGTCAGTGGCAAGGTGGCACTCAGGCTCTTCAAAGGGCACACAAAGTAGGTATCTCAGTTACTTGTACATATATTTCAGAGTAGAACATTATACTTTCTTATGGATCTTTTTCAGTGTTTCTCAGCTACTTTTGCTCGGTTCATTTCAAATTAATCAAAGGAGCTCTCAGTGATTTGTTCAAAATGTCTGTACATTGCATAGGTTGGCAAAAACAAAGACAATGTTGTTTTCATGGTACTATATCAAAAATAAACTTGCAACCATACATCTATCAATAGTTGTTGAACAGAAGTAGGTTTTTGATTTGTTATCTGTGTTTTTTGTTGTGCACTTAAAGCATTGTTGTGTGATGATTTCTTGAGTGATCCATCGACTGAGTTTCATGATGATCTCAAGAATTCTGACAACCCGAAAAGTCTTTTACAGGCTTATAAACATCTAGTCATGAAAATGAACGGATATAACTTTTGTGTTACTATATTTCTTCTCAGGGCTGTACATGTAACAGACTTCATCTCAGACCGTTACCAGGTCCTCACAGGGTCAGACGACTACACCTGTCGACTTTGGGACATTCCAAATGCAACGGAGCTCACAACCTACCAAGAACACACAGATTACATCCGCTGTGGTGTCACAAGCAAACTCAACAGCGATCTCTTTGTTACTGGTGAGAAGGAGGCTAAATTTTATATATGGTATGAGGAGGTTATCATCAGTGAACTATATGCAGCATTTTGACACGGTTTGTATAGAACAACCATGTGATTATGTAGTGTGAAAAAACTAGAAAAATAAAAGTACCGACAGTCTGAGTGAGTGCCACTGCAGAGGGAAGGATGAAGGACTTTGGTTCGTTTTTGTTTTACAATAATAATGTGGGTTTTTTTGTTTTTTTTAATCATAGGATCATATGATCATACAGTGAAACTGTTTGATGCCAGAGTGGATAAGAGTGTGATAACCATGGACCATGGCCACCCAGTGGAGAGTGTTCTTCTATATCCTTCTGAGGGACTTCTGGTCTCTGCAGGTAGTCAGCAGTTCAGTTTCATGTCCAGTCACCAGATCCAGAAAATGTGCCAGCTTGTTATCAGACCAAACACAGATTCTGTTAATGTTTATTGATTTGAATTTAACAGCGTGTCCCTCAGCCTTGCTCAAATTGAAATCAGTTGTGTTGTTAAAAAATTGGATTGACACTGCCATGAACAACAAGGAAAGACATTTAAGACCCTTGTATTCTTGGTTGTGACTTCCCTCACAATTTCCTGACTGCAGTCTTACACACACACACACACACACTACATAATATTGACTGATGTTTATTCTGGTCATTAAAAAAGTCTTTAATCCAGGGTCACTTGTTCACTCTCTTTAGGCGGGCGCTATGTGAAAGTGTGGGATCTGCTCAAAGGAGGCCAGGCTCTGGTGTCTCTAAAGAACCATCACAAAACTGTCACCTGTTTGTGTCTGAGCAGCAACGGACAGAGACTGCTGTCAGCGTCTTTGGACAGGTACAGGGACCTGTTTGTAACACTATATATGGTTGACATAGCAAACAAAGAAAAAGGTTCTGTGGAAGTCAGAGGTGTCATTTTTCATTACAGTTGGATGTGTTTAGTTGCATGTGAATCTGATCTAATTCAGATTTTCTGTCTTTCAGGCATGTGAAGGTGTACAACACAACCAACTATAAAGTGGTCCACAACTTTGACTACCCTGCCTCCATCCTCAGTCTGGCTTTAGCTGTAAGAAAATACATCACCACCAGATTGCATTTTAGTTTTTTTTACATTTGTAATTAATATAATGTCAGTTGATTCCCAAGATGGGAAGGAGATAAAACGGTACATCCTCCTACCTTGGTGTTGGCACAAAGGGGTAGGCTTTTCTGAACACGATGTGCGTCCTCAGATAGTGAACTGACAAGCCATTTTTTATTTGAGTCTTTAAATACTACCAGTCTTTGGTTTGTTAGAGAATGGCACTTTTAAAATGAAAGGTATCGCAGGTTCAGTATAGCCACAGTCTATGCATTGTGTATTTGTTTTGAGATAAATATATACTGCTCAAAAAAATAAAGGGAACACAAATAGTTGAATGTCTTATTTTTGTGTTCCCTTTATTTTTTTGAGCAGTGTATTTTATGCCATATTGATGATAATATATCATCATCAGTCCTAACACAGCATTATATTTATTTGCTTGTTGCTCCTCAAAGAGATGTGGGGGAAAAAGGTTTCTGAGTTCTTGCCCTTAAAACGATGAATATGTATTTCTCCTCAGCCGGATGATGAGTCCATCGTAGTGGGTATGACCAACAGTATTCTGAGTATAAAACATAGAAAAAGCTCTGAAGAGTCAAAGGAAATATCTAGCAAGCAGAGACGACGGCCATCATACCGTGTTTTTGTGAAGGGGAAGAACTACATGCCTAAACAGGTAAGTTTACATTATGTAACATGCAGTAATATTGCAGACTAAGATGTAGTCTGTTGAATGATTGTTCCCCAAGAGATTTTGACCTCGTGCCACAAAAAGATGAGTTCAAACTGTCTGACATAGGCTAAAGTCTATTCCTGTGCACTGAGACATAATATGTTTTATGAAACAATTATCTTTGTAAACATTGTTCATTTATTTCTTGGTTTCCCATTTTTGTCCAGGATGACTACCTCGTCAGTAAGCCAGTGAAACAGCATTTGACAAAATACGACAAGCAGCTCAAGAAATTTAATGTATCCAAGGCCTTAGATACAGCTCTGGAGGTATACATTTCACGCTTGAGTTGTACAAGTGGAATGGCGAACCTGGATATTGGAAGATGAACAACATTTCTCACACACAAAACATTTCAGAAAAAGTCTGAGAATTTTTTCCATTTAGTAATTTTCAAATATATTCCCTTTTCTTTGTGAGACATGGACGAGAATGAGAAAGCCAGAGATTACAGTTGCTGTTATGAAGGAGCTGGAACGAAGAGGAACACTGAAAAACGCTCTGGCTGGAAGGGATGAACAGGGGCTTTCTCATTTGCTCAACTTCCTTATAGGGTAAGATGCCGAAATGTATCAAGCAGCCTGTACAAAGTGTTGAGGTCATGTGTTATTGGATGCACTGAATTGCAGGTAGTCAAATCTTGCAGATTTTTTTTTTTTTTTTTGCCACTAATACATTTTTCTGTTTCCTGCCCAGGAACTTGGCTGACCCCAGGTTTGCTCCTGTCCTTGTAACAGCAACTGAGGCGATCCTGGACATCTATCAGTCAGTAATCGGACAGTCTGCAGTTGTGGACCGACAGCTGTTGCGTCTGCAGGAGCTTCTGGAGAAAGAGGCTGACTACCAGCAGGACCTCCTGGAGGTGCTGGGCATGTTGGACACAATCTTTGCCTCCTCTCTCCCTAGAAAGGAGGTGCCGTGCTCTGGCGTCAGCAGGTCTAATGGCCTGGCCCAGGGAGAAGCGAGTGCCTCAGGACCACAGCTTCAGGCCACCTGAGGCATGTAATGCGGAAGACTGCTTTAGACTGGGTTGGAGTATGCTTACAACTCTAAAACCTCCTTTTGAAACATAAGACATTTCCTAACATGACAGGCCATGTCATAGACTTTACCAGACAAACATTTTGATACAGGTTTTAAGAGATTGACAAACTCATGGTCTCACTTTGGTGTTTTAACTCAGCATGACTGACAATACAACAGGTAACAAAGAACATACATTTTCTGTAAGAAGACTCTTTAAATGTGTGAATGTAAAGCAAGGTGATTCTTTTATTGGAAGTCTTGAAATTACATTTTCAGTTGTAATTGTAATATGTGTGTGTGCACATGCGCACTTGTGTGTTTGAATAGTTTTACTATAAATGTTTGTGTTTTCATAATATTTGGCATTGACAAATGTTTTATAAGCAGATAAAATTTAATATTTTACAATTTTGGAACTGACTGATTGTGTTCAGATGGTTTGAAAAGTTATTTTACTGTTAAATTTCCACCAATTATACTGATTTCAACAGACACTTTGAGTCCCCCTCTTGAGCACTAACGAGCATTCGACTACTGTCTACTACAGCCGTGTGGTTATAGGCACACCTAAGGACCGTTTTAGTGGTTAATGTACAATTTGACAACATATTGACAACAACATTTGTTTTATTTTTGTCATTTTGAATCTTTTTGGGTCATTGTGCACCTCTTTGTGCCTCTGAATATCAAAGTAATTTGGTAAGTATTGTTTAAAGCAGTACATCTCTGACCCTCTTAGTTGGGGCTGTCAGGCCTACTTTGCCTGATGGACAATTGACAACAGACAAAGCACATCAAGGCCACTTATGTGAATAAAATAAGGGTTTAATAATTCTTGCAGCAAGGGAGCATTCAATACACGCAATAGGCGGTCTGTCTGAGGGTCATTTATACGTTTAGAATTAACAGTCATGGTGTGATCACAGACATTCTTGCACATCTGCAGTCTGACTGCTCATGAGAACAGCATGTTACAGCAGGGTGGAAGCTTGATAGGGAACACACAGTATCTACTCAGTACATGCACAAGACGTATAATAATTTCACCGTGGGTCTCTGGGTGTCTACTGCCCCTTAGTAAATATATTTTCAACAGAAAAGTCCGCCCCTGGTGCTGTGGGAGCAAAAGGAGCCTGCAGTGCGTTAGCTCGATTTCTGTGCTTTTACACGGGTGGTACTTTCGACCAGTGAACTTTTAACGGGACACGTAACGGAAGCAGCCTACACGTGCGCGACCTGTGTTTCAGGTAGGATTACTTCACATTTGTTCACGAAAATGTGTATAGATGACGTGTATGTGTTCTGAAATGAAATGGGATCAATTTGGGGCAAAAGTACAATCAGAGTAAAAGTAAAAAAGTGGTGCTTGGGCCCCGGATCTCCTCAATTGTTCACTTTGTAAGTTTCATAGAAAGCTTATGACATTGCAGCTGGATAGGTTTCACATCAGTGACACTGTGCGTTATTGTGAGTACAGTATTTACGAATCAACAATGAGTAAAAGTGCTGTGCTCAGGTGGAATCTTTTACCAGACGAATGTGAATCAAAGGGATGTAGAGCATTAAAAGCAGACTGCAATCCAGTAAAGGTTTGGATGGTAGATCCCTGTGTGGCTTTTTTCTCTCTGCCTAGTTAACTATCCTCGGGTTGGATCGGTCAGTGCACCTGTGTGTTGATTGGGCGGTGCTGTCGGGGTATATCTAGGAGAGCTCTTGGTGCTCCGAGGTATTTCCTCCGCTCCGGTTGAGTAGTTGTTCTGTCTTGGTAGTAAAATGTCACTCTGGGCCTCTGGTTTTTTGGTTTTTGCGGTGATGAAGTTGTGGTATTGTTTCACATCCCCTTCCTTTGAGTTTGAGCTGCACTTTCACCTTCGTATGGGAGTTTGGAGAGCAGTTTTGCATTGCTCGTCCTTTTGCCTTTGTGTATTTTTCTAGGCATTATGATTTTATAGACAGTGTAAAACAAGGGACGTCTTTCTCCCATATAAGTTCTTCTCTTCGGGGAACGGGGCGTTGCTAGACAAAGTTCTACTGGGGCACAGGCCTCCCATTACTCAAATCACAGTAATTTTTCTTGACTGTCTGCTGCATGAATGAAATGTGCTATCTATTGTGCTATGTGAACTTCCCTTGTTTAGCCCACTATTCCACTGCAGTACTGCTGCTACTGAAACACCTACTGGTAAAGGTAAAAATGTAGAAATATTATTCTTTATAAAAGAAGGCCACACAACATATCAATGTTCTAACTATTTCAAATTTGTATTGTGCCACTGCACCTTGTTTACCAGCTACAGCCACGTCTTACCTCTCTCACCCTCATTTCTCCTCTAAAGAATTTGCTTATGTCTATCTACATGAGTCAGTTATGTTTGAGATCATCGGTATTATTCAAAAACTCAACTGTGCCTCAGCTTGTAGTTTGCTTTGACATTCTGGATTAGAATAAATCAATTATTTTCCTGTTATTATTGATCTAAATTAATCCTCTGCCAAATATAGGAGCTTGTTAAAACTCAAATGTGTGATTTTACTGGAGCACAGCAGATCAATACTGGGGCATGTGCTGTAATACTGGGGGTCTGCACCAAATACAAATTCCTTGTGTGTAACATACTTGGCCAAATAAAGGTGATTATCCTGATCATCCAGCAAAAGGGGTCTAATGACGCCTATGTCGGGGAGGCTGCTGCTCTGACTCTACTTGTGGGCCGTGTATGCACTTGAGACAGTGTACACACCATGCTGTAGGGTTTATTTTTAATGTTGTGTCATGGGGAAATATTTGTGCAGTGGGTTGAGGTTACGCTGGGGTTTGTAACCTTTTAGTTGGCCTGGGTTTGAGATCTTTTTGCATTGGTTTAGTTATGAGTGTTTGCAAGATTTGACTATTTTGCATAATTTTCAGTTCAGTTTGAATTGTATTAATTTTGTCTGCAGGGCTGGCTACACTCTGGGTTGAGGCCCTAAGTTACTGTGGAATACCTTACTGGGTGATCTACATTACTGTGCATTATGTTGATGTAATGTTTTCTTAATATTGGTTATATGTGAGTGGTTTTTAAATGTAGTTTTTTACATGTCCTATTAATAAAATGTCCAACATGTTTGAACACAATCCTACCTCTGCCCATCAGTGATACGTACCTGTGTGCCTTTTTGGGTGAAATTTTCCCGGGAGTGAACTTCCCCTGGCTGGCGTTGTTGGAACCTGTTAAGTTGGGTTATACCTACCCACTGTGCCGCACTGCCACATATAAACACATATTAAATACATGTATATAAAATTTGACAATCCTCCCAATATACTGATAAACCAGTTCTAACATCATCACATTATGAAAAATAGTAAAGAAGTATTTTTTTTCTATTTTTCTAATGTTCAAAAAATAAAACGAGTTTGTCTTGTGTGGGTCTAATCCATGTTGAATTTGGTTATGGAATAACAATAATAAAAATGCAATGCATTGAAGAAGGCATAACTACACTCAAAACAAAACCCAATTTTAAAAAATCTATAAATAAAATATTAAGGCATTATATTCAGTGTTGTAACACTGAATTCAGTGAACTACATTTTACACCCACTGTCACACTAGAATAAAATAATAGCTAAAGGATACTATACAAATATCCTCAGTGCTCTTCTTCCTCCTGATGCAGATTTTGTTACTCTATATTACAACTTATTGTTGGTCATAATAAGCTGTTGGCACTAACAAGTAATGGCCCCATTGTTTTTCTTTTCTTTTCAGCCACAAACACGCTGGGTTAATCAGAATGTAGTAAGAGATGGACTAATGTCCTGATGATTTTAGTACTTTTGTGGGATTTTTTTTCCAGTAACAAAATGTATCTATAAATGACCACTGGAAGAACAGTGATGTATCAGGTAGCAGGTGTTACAAGCTTATTAAATGAAAGACTTGAAAAACACACATAGGGCAGGTGTAACATTCTTTGCCTACAGATGGCACAAATGCTAAAATTGAAACAGCGGTTCTTTTCTTTGCCTGTAGGAGGCGACATCTACATATCAACGTGCTAAATGTTCTTAATTTACTGAGTGTTTTGATGTTTAGGAAAAGCCTTCTGAATGTATAAAAATCTAAAGAAATGAATCTCAGACAGTAAGTTCTTTGCTATTTATGTTTTGTTTTGTTTTTTTTGACAGGTGAAAAACTTTATAACAATAACAGTATTGCAAAGAGTGCTACAATGAATATAACAGAAGTCTACAACATAATGGTTAACCCCTATAATCAAGGAAATGTCTCTGGAAATGGAAGTATGGGTTTCCTGAGGAACTCCACTTTAAACAGAGCCATCAACATCTTCAGCATCATCATCCTCTTTATCGCCATGATATCCCTCGGCTGTACGATGGAGATTTCCAGAATTAAGGCTCACCTCTTCAAGCCAAAAGGAGTATTCATTGCATTGCTGGCCCAGTTTGGTATCATGCCCCTGAGTTCTTTTTGTCTAGCCAAAATGCTACAGTTGAGTCCTATCAAGGCTTTGACTGTGCTTATCTGTGGCTGCTGTCCCGGTGGAAGCTTGTCAAACATTTTTTCCTTGGCTATTAAGGGTGACATGAACCTCAGGTAAATACTCACTCACTGATTGATTCTGACCTTGCTGAAAGATTACAAATGTCTACAATGAGTTACTACTTCAGCTGTGTCAACACAATTTTCTGTCTTACCACAAAATTGGTCAATAAACAGAAAAACACAAATCAAGACCCATGTTTTTGTGTGTACAATTTTATTTTGGACATGTCAGTCTAACAGTGTTTCTTCTCCATCTGACACCCTCCCAGCATCACAATGACCACTTGCTCCAGCATCGCAGCCCTTGGTCTGATGCCTCTGCTGCTCTTTCTCCTGTGTAAAGGCTTCCCCAGTGTGGCAAATGCTGTACCATACCCTGGCATCCTCACTGGTCTAACATTAACCCTGATTCCTTGTACCATTGGCATTACTGTCAATCACTACAAACCACACTACTCGCCATTCATCACAAAAGTGAGACTACTGAAATCTGTCTCACACAAACATGTAGATATTCTGTTATACAGTTGACAGGACTTTTTCACAATTCAGGGGTCCCACTAATCAACCATAACAGTAAGCCATGACAGTGAGTCAATATGCACAGTACAGGACCCTGAAACTAAAGCTGCCAAATGGAATTCAGCAGTCCTAAAGGGACAGACATCCTATGCGCATGGTCTCATGCGTAGGAGGACACAGGTGAGACATGTGCACGCGCTCCTATTCATACTTCAAATCAAGGGTCTGCCTTCTGTCCGTGTACCACCACTGTTTCCAATCATTGTGTTACGTGCACAGTCAAGTGATGTGCCGTAATTTTCATCATCTTCCCAGGTCTGCGAGAGTCTGTGCAGACAGTTTTCACAGCAAAAGCCCTGACTGCACATGTACCACAATACTTGGAAACCATAAGCATATGGGGGCATAAGCCAAACCCTAGATTTGAAGTATGAATAGGAACGCCTGTGTGTTCGCCTTTAGTCTTATTCTTTTCATTTTTGCTTTTGCTATTGTGACACATCAAAATATCTTTCATGGAAAAGGCCTACTGGACAAAAAGTTGTTTACCAAAATGATTCATCACATGTGGGTGCTGCCATACAGTCCTGAGGGACTATAACAAAATAAGCACAAATTGGTTGCGTACTCTTTCGGCTTTACTGTTTGAACACCGTCCTTTCAGGGCCGCGCCATACATACAGCTCTAATGTATAACCTTTAACTGCTTAATGTCGTAAATGCCCTCTTAAGACAGGTGTAATTTGTGGTCTAAATAAATAGGAAGGTGTGTGCAACAGGAAGCCTTTACTGACGACTAAGAGCAGAGCCTGATGCTTCCAGACAATGTTTGGAAGTAGGAAGAGAGGAAAAAATGTTTTCATGTTCACATTCATGTAACATTTAAAGGAGATAACACTTGTAACATGGTCTAACTCAAATTTTCTATCTCAACAGGCTGGTCTCATCATTCTGATCATCTCTAGCATTATAGTTCTCATCCTGTCTGGCATTGCCATCAAAGATGAAATATGGATGGTCTTCACAGCAGATATTGTGACCACGGCTGCACTGATGCCACTGACTGGATTTATGATGGGATATGCCATGTCTATCATATGCAGACTCAGTCCTCAGTAAGTGAATACACACTAAATAACAATTAGCTGTGTCCCAGTTACTGCATACTGAATGTATACAGAGGCTGCACACTGTATGACTTCTGCAGTGTAATCAATGTTCTTTACTGTCTTAGATTATTATAAATTATTATTGTTAAAGATTATTTATGGCTATTCTTATTTTTGAATGTCTCACCACCACCCACAATTATTTAGAATTTTAGTAACACCTCCCTTTTCTCTTTGAGAGAATTGTACATATCACACATTTTCATCCTTTGTGGCTTGTTGTGAGCCCACAAAATAAAGTAACATGTTTTAGTGACCCCTTTTCACATTTTCACAGGTTGTGGATTTATGAAGTGTAGACATGATTTGTGAATAGTTCAACCAAAGAACAATTTTGTTTTCTTGAGTTTGTTTAATTTAGGGATTTCTGGAGGACCTGAAAAGGTCAAATTGCCTAGTAGATACCAAGAAAAACATAAAAATCAGTGGGAAAAAAAATACAATTAAATCTGTGTAATTTATTTTTATTTTTTGGTTCCTTTATTCTGTTTCTGAGTCTTCAGCTTAATCTTGTGGAAGGTTGGGACGCTATAGTGTTTAACTGACTCTACTTGACTATTTCTGTTTAATTTTATTTTATACTAAAATATGTCAGTTTTCATGCCTCTACAGCTATTACAAAATATGACAGATTAAACTACCCAACAGTAAATAAAATTGTTTAAACTAGCTCCATCTCAACAAACTACAACAGCAAAGCATCACTCACACACTAATGCACCAATATACCATAATATAATAATAATAAACGTTATCATTTATAACAGTACAACATGCTGAGGCCATTTTTTGCAGTATGAGTGCTTCTGATACTTTCAGTACATTTTGCTACTTAATTACAATTTCAGCCTAGGCTTTTTATTGTAAAGGAGAATGTTTAAATTGCAATGTAGCAACTTTTATTTAAAGGTCTGAATATGTCCTCCACAACTGTCTCATAATATAATTTAAAGACAAACTTTTAATGAACTGTGCAATAGAAATAAACAATATGCATATAAATGACATCTCTAGTAGTGCATTCTGTAGCTCAAGAAGGTGTTAAAAGAAGTGAAGAAATGTTTCAGATAATCTACTGAAATGTAGAAAGACATCCTGATATTTTATCCAGTTGCAATAAAACTGGCACATTTTTAGTATGAAATTCAAATAATGCAATGTCACATGGCTCACCTCGTTTCAGATGCTGCAGGACCATCTCCATGGAGACAGGGTGTCAAAATGTGCAGCTATGCAACACTGTCCTGAAAGTGGCCTTTCCCCCACAGGTCATTGGGCCCATGTTTGTCTTCCCTTTCATATACATGATAATGCAGTGTGCTGAGGCTCTTCTCCTGATCCTCTGCTTCAGATGTTACCAAAAATTCAAGGCACAAGATAAGGGTAAATGTCACAGCTGCAACTGTGTATTTTTCTAATGGGAGGTAGGGGGGAGGGTTCACACAAGCACATGCACTCTCTCCACATATTCGCAGCAGGGCTCGAAAAAAATAACTTTTTCTACCAGTGTACCAGAACTACCCAGAATGCAACTTTAAACTGTTCTAAACTTAGTCCCTTATTTACGATTTACATTAGCAGGGCCAGACTGGCAAAAAAAAACAGCCTGGGAGTTTTATTGTCAAGTGACCCCAGTTTGATTTGTCAAATTGATACTGTCAGACCAAGTTAATCTATCAACAAATTAAAAAAACAAATCTCACTGTTGCACAGTTTGTGGTAGTTTAGTGATCACATTTTTCAAGGTTTTCCTTCCAATATTTGTTTGCAGACAGCAAAAATATAACATTATGATGACACCTAATCTGATTTGGCCTACAATTTATAAATATATATATATTTAATACATAATTTTATATGTTCAGCTTTGTTAAAGGTTGTGTGAAATTATTAAACATCTGTGTTTTCTGCCTTCTGAGCCCTTGTCCCCTTTTCCTCTCTCTCCCACAGCTGCGCTGGACTCTGAATCCAACCTCACCATTTCACTGCGTTCTGACTTTGCATCTACAACAGAGAAGATGACCAGTTTTTAGATATATTCAATCATTAACTCATAAGGCCACATAAATATATCAATGCTTAAGCTACTTTGAAATTGTATCGCACACTACACTGGCTGCTGGTCACTCACAGTGGTCTCCACAGAGGCCCCTGAGTCACTACTTTCCTCATCACCATCGTACACACCAGCTGTTTATAGCAGTGGTGTAACATAACTATAATGGGCCCTGGTGCAAATTATTTTTCTGTGCTCTACCCTATCCCATATACACATGCATGCTCCTGCACACATGCACACACACAACCACTCCAGACAATTGCATGGAGAGGCTTACCCTGCAAGTTCCATCCTGAAAACCAGCCTTTGATCAGCATCACAGACCGTGGATAATCATCAACCTGGACTCTAACCACCACAGCATAATTTCTCCAACTCTCAAACATCCATAATATTCAGCCAGTCTAACTACACTAACAAATAAGCACAAAGGTAGCTTACACTGAATGTTGATAGACACAAATGAGTGTTATACACATGATCAGAAGGTGGTGTGTATATATAGCTGTCACATTAACTGTTGCAATTTAGCATTTGACTGTCAATGAAGGGTCAGCCTGAAAACTGCACAGTATAATTTATAGCCATGGAGGGGCTCCTGCAATAGGCAACACTAATGCATTTATTCAGTGAGTGATTTAACCTAACACAGTCTTTTCCTTAGACTGAACCACATAGCTTTAGTGACTAAACTAACCATGCATGTAATTTTTGTGCTTAAAACTAATGATGATTTTTTTTAAGTGCCAAATAAGGAGTAAAGGATTAAATAAGGAACAGAGGCAAAGTTTGTCATGTTTGGCTCGTGACCTCCTGTTAGAGACTCTTATTGTGAAAGGAAGTTCTGGGTTTTCACCATCTCATTTTCTTTGAGCGTGACTTCTGCCAATCAGTGACTGATTCAGATCACCTGGCTAATTCTTCTTACCTGTTGCTCATTGTCTCTGCCCTACATCTACTGCTTTGTTTCTTCACTTCAACTGCTAGATAGTCATCAGCACCATGCTATGTGCTCCAGCTGTCATCTCTCTCTGGACCTGGACCTGGACCTGGACCTGCATTCTGTCTGCTTGATTGATTGACTCTTCAGTGTCAGTGACAGCACACAGTTCTTTCCAGCCTTCACCAGCTGCTCTGTATTGCTGTCTGGTTGCCCCTGGTTACCTATTATCTGCCCTGTACCCTGTCTCTGCCAGCCTAGAACTTGCCATCCTGCGGTTCAGACAACCCTTTTCCTAAGCCTGTTCTCTGAATCTTGCCCAGCCTGGTTTTGGGATCTCTGTCCACCCAGTCCTGTCTGTACTGTATGTGGGGTTTTTTTTGTTTGTTTTTTAAGCCTGTCTTCTGACCTATGGATTTTTCTTGGTGTTTTTTTTTTTGGCCCTGAAAACATATTGTTAGCCAGCTAAGGAGGACTATTTTTGTTGATACTTTTTTGGATATATATATAAACTGACTTTCTATATTTCCGGCTGCCATGATTGTGCTGTTCTTTTTGTGTTGTTCCCCACCACCTGAGATGTTTTTTTTTTGTACTTGGCCTGTACATTTCTATTTTGTGGAACTTACCTGTATGCCCCTCCCTAGTCCCTGGAATAGTCCAGTCTGCCTTTTCTCTGTGACATCATCTAGCTCACCTGTGGATGAGGCCACTTACTGTCACATATGTGTGTTAGCCCAGTCTTGTTTCATCTTAAAAGCTAAGTATGGCTGGGCCTGGTAAACACCTGGGTGGGAGACTGCATCAAAACACCAGTAACACAAACAAGACCAGTGTCTGTCTGACCCAGGTGATCCAGAGGCAGTACCTAAACAGCAAGGCCACCTTCACCACTCCCAGCCCCCGGAGCAGCTCTGCCTCAAACCCCCCAATAAAGCTCTTAAACATCAGTCAGACTTTGTCCTGTATTTGGGTCCTTCCCTCATGAGAAGCCTGACAGAGTTGGCTAAAGAATGCTCTCTTAATTTTACACAAAATAAACATTTTGCTTCCTAATATATGGTTTATTATTTTATACTATTATTTTATTTATTTTATATTTTTACATGATTTTTAAATGTGCCACTTTTCTCTGAGGCTGTGTCCCAACCTGGCCACCCCGTTCAAATTTTTCTAGACCGCCCCTGGAAAGCATCCACAGTGACACGGAGGATGCTGTGCCAGTGGAGGCTGCAGCTGAGTCTGGGAAGCGTCACCGACTGAGCATCATTTCTCAACTTGTAGCTTCACCACAAACTTAAAGCAGAAGGACGATGAGTCCGACTTAGGTGCGTTCTAAGACTACATTTACATCGAGTGTTTTTTATCCGAGTTTGAGCTCCTGTTAAGGTAGGTGTTACATTTCTACTAGCCGCTGACTTCAGTGTCTCATATGATACTGACAGTTTGCTAATGTGTCAATTCACGATATAGCCATTTAAAAGAGCCTCAAATTTATTCTGCAGCTAAGGGGTCAACATTAAATTCACTTGAATCGTTACGAAAAAGCAAACACATATCTCTAAAGCTCGACCTGGGCTTGTAGTGTTTAGTAGCTAATGTAAATAATCAGTATACTGCCGTTAAATTCTGCGATGAACAGTTTAGCTGTGCTAAAGCTAGCAGACTTAGAAAACCCTCTCCTCTTGGTCTTCATGCCTTATCTTTATTCACTGTAATGTTTGGTTTGTCATAAATACTTAGCGTTATTATAAGTGTAAATGCAGAAAATAGCGTAATTGCACAGTAATCGATTTCTTGAAAAAGAGACTTTGCTTAAAGACCTTGCTGTTGTTGTCCAGTTGAGGAAGTGGCCACTGATAAAGAACAGATCTGAACCCTGCAGCAGAAACTCAGTCTCTTTCCTAGTACTGTCTGGCACACCGCCTGTTTATCAGATCAGGATACATTACCTTTAGTGCTCTGGGTGCCTACTGTCTCTACCCACCAAGGCAGAAATATCATCATTAAAATCATTATTCACATACTTGGGATCAAAGAGCCTGTCAGAGGACCTCAGACTCTGCTTGGTACAGTTGGATAATATCCTCCCCAGGATCAGAGGAGGATAACTAAAATAACCAAAGATGTACTGAGGAGATTCATGGCTACACTGAATTTGAGTTTGTTCATTTTTGTCTCTCGCATGTCTGTTTAATGTCGATCTTTGCCTGCAGTCGCTGTGCAGATGGAGCTGAGCAGGAGGAAAGTGCCTCTTTATGTGAGTATGTGCTCCAGTTTGCAGTCAAGTGTGGAGACCAGCGTTTCTAATTAATCTCAAGAGTTAGTTATCCCTCTGGAAAATCTCTGTAAATTGGGTTTGGTATGCGAGTGAGAGATCAGCAGCCTGATGATTCACTGTGATGACAAAACACTGATACTTCTGATATTGATCAAGCAGGGAATTTATTGGTCTTTAACCTTAATTGTCCACACAACAGTGATGGTAGCAGATTTGCTAGTAAATCACTTACTGTGATTCATTCACAGTTTTAATTGTTTTTGCATTAGAGTTGGAAAGGAAAATGTATTTGCTATCAGTTTTGATTGCATCCATTGTCCATGAGGTTAAGCTGTAGTCAAACAGGGCAGGACTGTGGCCAAATATTTTTGATGCTTTTAGTTTGGGATGTTAACATTAATGAGGACTAGACTAAGACTAATCAAAAGGTGAATTTTCTGATTGCCTTGTATTCTATAGATGCCAACAGATGAACTAACTCAAATTTAAAGGCTGAAGAAAACCTGACCATTGTTAAAACAATACTCATCCACAGCCACGTTAGTGACTCTGTTCTTGGAATGCTAGCATGCTAAAAGATCCAAACATTTACCACACAGTTATTAGTGGTGAACATCTGGCCAGTCACAGAGAGGTGAGGGCAGAGAGGAAGCTCTGTTGACTTTACAACATTTTTGGTAGGTCTTTGCAGTACACACTAAGACATTCCTGTTTTCATTAAGGGGGACTTGTTTTATTGTACCTTCAAGAGGAATGATGTCTGGGGATTTGGTGATCTTATTCTGATGAATTGCTCTACTTTTTGGTAAAGTCTTACTCTAGATTGAGCCTGCATCTTCAGGGATTACTTTTTTGTCTAACATCTTTATTTTCAACCTTTCAACCTTGCTTCAGCCTCACCCATCTTTCTTTATGTCAGGGCCAGGCTAAGGTATTTGCCTTGCTGGAGGGTTTAGACTCACTGCCCGAGGATGCCGAGGTCTACGTTGTTTTGGAAGGATCCACATTGGTCCATGTCACCAGGGCTAGGAATGATGTCATGCTCTGCTTTGTAGTGCCAGGTATGTGTTCATGTATGTCTGTATGATGTGTACTGTGTTACTGTGTGCATGTTTTCTTGTGTTTTGAAAAGCATGTTTGGACATTAAACAGCACATCCTGACAAGGCCAGGTTTTCCCCTCCCGTCTACTAAGAAGCATTATATCACCATTTGTGTCTTAACATGTAAGCACATACATACATAGTCTGTGACTTGAGGTCTGGAAGGGAACAGAATCTTATCAGCTTCCTCTCAGGAGGGAAGCAGCTCGATAAACAATATGTCAACATTACCGACCTTCTGTGTAGGTTGACACAGACAGCAGAAAGTCCTACAGGCTTGTGCACTCTCTCTAACAACTGGACTATTAAAGCCATCATCAAAAAATGATTTTATTAGAATAAAAAAAGAAAATTTGAGAAAACTTTAAGCACACTCAGGTATTTTTTAAGGTCATTTGAAATATTTGTAAGGAACAAGGAATAAGTTCCATACCAGTAATTTAGCATTTTTAGCTTGTTACCTTCAAACAGTATATAATTTTAATCATGTTCATTCATTTATTGTAGACATAAAGACTTGAATCTTGTGGTAATCAACCACTGTGGACATTCTGTCTCTTTATTTTTTCATATTTTAACCTAAGAAGGCAGTTACAGGCAATGCCTCAAAGAATTAGGAAGAAAATGAATAAGAAAGAAGGCTACGTGGGTCTGATACAGTATAAAGCAACTTTTATTTATATACATGTACATGAATATAAAACTGTTTGGAGTAAAGTCTGTGTTTCGCTGTGCTGTTTTTTTAGGACATAACCTGGCTGAGGTGGTTTCTGTCCAGGCCTACCTGTGTTCTGAAACCACACCCCTCACCTGGGTGGGTGGGGCTTCATTGGAGTATGTTCAAGATGATGCTCAGGTACGAAAGATACACAAACATGAAGCTATTTGCGCAAGTTTGTGCATCCCTGTGGAGAAAATTACCCATTTATACACACAATCTTCAAATGTAGCAAAAATGTTCATGCACACCATTTATGACAGATTATACCTTATTCATGACTGCTTTCTTCTCAGGACTTGGCAGAGCACCTGGTGATCCATGGACATTGTCTGACCTCCACAGATCACATGGAGCTGAGAAGCCTCTTCAGTCTGGGCCAGGAGAGCTCTCGCCGGTCTATGGATCATTGTGCGGCCCTGGCTATGGCCAATCTGGATATCCCCCAAAACTGGAATGTACTGGGCTGCCACAGTGGAGACGGTGAGAGCAGAATCAGCTAAATGAGAATTCCTGCAGAGATGTGTTGATCAAAATCAAATTATATTTGTTTTCCTATATAACATATCTGTGAAAATGTTTAATAGATAGGGAACTTACTGAGCAGAGATGAAGTTGATAGGTTTTCTCACAACCTCATCCCTCATCATGTTGGAAACTAGGAGCGAGTGCTATGGAAGGTGAACTTTTCAACCTTGCTTCCCATCCACCTCCTTTCTTCTTTCTCTGCCATCATTCCCATTTTCCATGGGTTGAAATTGGAAGTGAACATGATCATGTCTGTTCTTGTTGAAGTCATCAAAACTAATTAAGCAGCATGTAACGTGGTTAATAGAGCCTTTCCGTCTGGAAGCAGCGTTAGGCAGAGCTCAGGAAATCTGAGGACGAGTATGTTCAATTCACTTCAATTCAGTTTTATTTCTATAGCACCAAGTTATAACAAGAGTCATCTCAAGACACTTTACAAAGCAGGTATAGACCTTACAATTATGATTATTATTATCATTATTATTATTATTATTATTATTATTACTACAAAGGAAAAACCCAACAAATCCCCCTTGATCACCATGTTTACCAGATGCCTCCATCTGTTTCTATGGCATACGTGCTTGTGCAGGGCCACCTGCATAAATAACAAATTAGATTTAGTGTTAACGTAGTTATGGCAGTCTGTTTCATGGCAGCCTCTCCCCCCAAATGTCTGCAGTTGATTTGATAACACTGCTTATGACATCATTCCAGCGCTGATGCCATATGCAACTGAATTATCAATCCCCAACTTTCTTTATTCAGTCACCATGTCTTTACTGTGCATACTGCATTTTTAAAGGCATTGGAAAAACAACAAATGCTCATTACTGTCACAAAAACAGGATTGCACTGGAGCTTGGATTTACTATGTTCTTTCTGAGGGAGAGCAGCAGAGAGTTGAGCGTACAACTGGCAAAGGTGTTAGCTTGCCAAGTCTGTCTATTGCTTAACAATGCACCGTTTTGGATGTTTGGTAATAAAATATCCTTAAACAAATAGAAAAACTGCTCTCTCTTTTTGCTAGTATATTTTTCCTGTGATTCACTATGATTTTGAGTCCTCCTCTTCCCAGACTTTTGCATTGTTAATGAGCGATGTGCATTCAGTTCAGACAACATCTGTCTGGCTTTTGTTGGACTATATTGAGTGGTTGACACAGAAATAAGATGCTGTCACCACTTGGTTAGAAAAGATTTTATTGCCTTAAAGTGGGTCAATGGGGCACAGGCATCCAGTGCTGTGCAAGAGAATATATTAGTATGTGAAATTTAGGTTAATTGTTGAGGAGTGGAGGAGGTGTTTCTCAAGACGGTGTTAGTTTCTTCCTGTTTTTCTCACATTTCACCACTGGCTTATTTTATTATCTTATTTTACCATCAAGTTCACCTACCTTTTCGATTCAGCACTATCCTAGATCCCACTGAATACTTTAATCTCTGCAGAATCCTATTTTTATGTCATTATATTTCTCCCCTCATCTCCAGAGAACAGTCTCAGGGAGTCTCCCCTCCACCTGGCAGTGCGATGGGGTCTTTGTCGGCTTGCAGAGCTATTGCTTTGCCAGCCAGGAGGTTTGATGGCTGTGAGTCTACCAAACGAAGAGGGAATCACACCACTGCAGCTGGCACAGGCAGCAAGCAACGCTGAGCTCCTGGAGCTGCTCACTCAGTAAGATAATAAGTTCCAACAGGGCATTTCAGGGGGAGACACTAACAAATGAATCACTGCTGTAAAACTTTGCTGTAACATTTTGTGTCCAGTCCAGTGCAGCAAGAAAGCTTTTCAAATGTAGAAATAAGCTGGTTTCACACTAGCTATTACCCCAGATAACATGCATTCTTTAGATATCATAACTACTGTAAATATTCTGTTTAAAGTACAGCACATAAAATGAAAACACCTGTTAGTACTACCTGTCTAACTCTGGAATATTTTGTGCTCAATCAATTGGGCTCAATTTGAATCCATTCCAGAGGCCTGTTTACTTGTCCTGAAAAACTGGCAGACCATCATCTGCACAGTGTACTTTTAGATATTTATTTAAACATTCTATTGGCTTGGAAAGTAATTCTATCCACATTTTTAGTCAAAATTATCTAAGAATATCAACCCTATTTTCTTGTATGTTTTGTGATTAAACTAACCCACCTGTCACGCTGCAGCCCACCCAACCCTTTAACCACACCTCCAGCAGGTCTGTCCCAGGTATGGGCAGACCGGTCGCGCTTGCTGAGGTTCTGTCATGACACAGGGAACCTGACACTGACCGTCCGTCAAAACCTGAGGTGGAGCTCAGAGGAGAGCCGTCACACTGACATCTTGCTTCTTCGAGACTGGCTCAGAGATGAGGACTTCCTCAGAGAGGTGTGTTATCAGTTTTGAGTATTGTAAATATTAATCTACATGAGTAATATCTGTAAATACAAGGGTGAAATGGAAAAACATTGTCAATTGGGATCAGGTATTTGAATTAACCTGTATTTTATATGGGAAAAAATGGCCTTTGCAATAGAAGCTGCATAATTAAATAAGCATGGAGTCAATATCAGTCAATCCTCTGCCTATATACGTTGGTTTACTACATCCTCTTAAAGTTTCCCTTTCCTACCACAGATCAAAGCACTAAAGAGTGAACGCAAGAAGACCATCGTAGGGAAGGAAGAACTAGTGGATGATCCTGCAGGGAATGGTATCTGCCATAAATCTGTCCTGCATAACCCTTCTCCACTCTTAACTCTTCACTTTCATGCCGCACTGGCCTGCCACTGTTTGTTGTAGTGCTGTATGAGGCTAGATACTGTTGTTTCACTCAGGCCACAATGCTGATAAAAATACAGTGCCCTCCTCTGGGATCTTTGGGGTATTGCAAGTCTGAAAAAATCAAGAGAACCAGATTTATTTTGAAGTAGGCTGACATTTTTTCAATTAATCAATTAATAGATGATGACTGAGATGTTGATTGTCAGAAAATTAATTAACAAAAATTTTGTGTACTGATTTAATTGTGCAAGTTTTTTAATCAAGCAACCATACCACGTATTTCCCTGTTTAATCCTCTTAAATGTAAGAATTGTCTGTTGCATATCATTGTGAATTTATTTGGGGAGTAGTAATGGTGACTTTTTACATTCTCATGGCATTTCACTGAGAAGTGATTAATCTAAACAATAATCAGCACCTGATGTTAGCAGGTATAATGGTTAGCCTGTTCACTATCCTAGTTTAGCATTGAAGGATGCTAATGCATACTAATTACCACCAAATGCAAAGTACAGCTGAAACAGATGAGAATGTCATTAGTTTTGCAGATATTTGGTTTATAAACCAAATTACTGAACAAATAAAATTTTTGCCCTGATGATGGAGCTACCTGACAAGCTAGGAGATCACCAAAGTTATTCTAGTTCATTCTGAAGGAATACAGAATCATCTGTAAATCATGAGTGTCAATCTGTAAAGTAGCTATAGATGATATTTCACTGGATAAATGAGACTTTGACCTGCTGGTGGTGCTAGAGCAAAAGACAGGGGACCAGCAAAGTCATGAGGAATCTACCTTGTCATCTCTGAATGTCTATGCAAAAGTTCATTACAGCCCATATTATAATTGTTGAGTTGGAACCAAAGTAGTGGCCCTAGTGACAAACAGACCAAGAGCAAAGCTGCTAGGATGACAGAAATGGAAATGAAATGTGTCCCCTTTCAGCCTCCCTTTCAATCCTTTTAGCTCTTTTGTTCATACTGTAGAGCAACATTTAAACCATCTAGTAGCACTATATCAGACCTGAGCGAATGTGTTTTATGGGATCATGATGAGGCACAGAAGGACCTTTGTCATATAAGGGTTGTTGTTTTGCTGTACATTACATCTTCTCCTTTCTCAGCATTTGCCTCCTTTTCTCCTCCTCCTCCTCTCATAAGTTTTTCTTATATCTCCCATCGTTATACATCCTTTATAGATCACTAACACCTACCTCTCCTACATTTTCTGTCATTATATGCCATTTTATGTGACCCAAACACTAATTTGTCTGTTTCTGGTAAGTGATCATACATTGTGATCTGGGACATGTGGTATTTAATGGTATTTAAATGAAAAGAAAGGAAATCAAGGCCTAACAATAAAGATCCTCCCCCAGGTTATGAAAATAAAATAAAAAAGGGCTTTGTTATTATTAAAAACTGACAAACATCTGTGCCCACTTGAGGCTCTTCTCAAGTTTAATGACTGCATCTGAATCTAGTTTCTCTTGTCTTAGCACTATATCCTGATATCAATGGAGGAACCGCTGCTGTAGAACAAAATGTGAGTATTTGATGTAAGAACAGTAATGGATTTCCTCATAATAAATTACATATTACAATCAACCATGGGCCTTACCTGTCCTTATTAAACAGACTTACTTTGTGCCTTTGTTTGTTCTTCAACAACAGGCGTTACTTTAAAAACCCCAGTTATCTAATTTCAAATTTTATGGCTCTCAGCTCCCTTCAGTAGTAGTCAACAAGGCACTGACTGCCCCTCAATGCGCCACATTGTTTCACTATTATTGTGAAGGTGTTGGAGGCGGCACCTTGCACTCGCCACTGAATAGGTGACTTTGTGAGCAGTGAAGTGTGTATTTCATGTTTTGAGAGGTGTGGCATGTGCACATGATTCTGGTCATCCACTAGAACCTGGTTTATGTGTTACAGATGGTTACCTACAGTCATATATCTGTCTGCCACACACTTAGCCACTCATCAAACACTTGTGGTTTTGTTCTTTCTTCTACTTGTTTTTTTTGTTTGTTTTTGTGCCATATGTCTGTAGCCTGTAGTCTCACTGTGCATTTTCGCATTTGTGCATGCTGTTCATTGAAAGGTTCCCTGTTTCACTCAGGGCTATGAGGAGCCACTAATGTTTTGCCTGAATGAGGAGGATGAAGAGGACAATCCATCACAGTCTGACTCTGGTAAGAAGTTTATTTTTAAAGTCTTTTTAAAACTTCCTCCCAAGCAAGGTTAATTTCTCAGAAGCCTGTTCTTAGATTTTGATTTAATTTTAGAGCCTGCAGTGCCGCAGCTGTAGACCATGTTGTGTGCAGAATGAAAATGATCGTTGTTGTTTTAGGTGGTATTACATTCAGAGTAAGTTATCCAAGTAGCTTCCAATCATTGAGTGAGTCCAACTGCAGGAAACATTTCCTCTCCTGGACAGAACTTGGAACTTAGCTATAATGCTCAACTGTGGCTGTCTCCCATCCCTATGGACTAGAATCACATTTCTCTGGCCTGTCCTGACCCTCTCTTTCTCTCTTGGGCTTTTGAGTCTTGTCACTTTGTGTTTACAGTGATTGTGGCAGTGAGATGAAATCTTTTTAATACAACATGTAGAGATCATGCTGTCGCTAATCCTGAGTCTTCATGTTCCTGCCAGCAGTGACAGGGGAGCAGAAATGCGTCCTAACTATGTGACTGAAGGTGGATTCACTCTGATGTGTAACTGGACAGGAAGGGGAAGATTTGAGAATGGGAACATCCTGCGGGTTAATAAATGGCTTTTACTGCTGCAGAGCAGACTAATACCTCAGAGTAAAAATGCTGTGGTTACAAGCTGAGGCTTTGGGCTTTGTAACACTTGGCAATGAGCATCTGCAATTTTAACTTCCTGTGGCTGGTGTCGTTTTCCATGCTCTATGGTTTAGCCATTTTGTATATGTGTATTTGTTGGCTGGTAGAGGATTTTCACATTTTCTGTGTAGCCTTTGAAGGTTGCCTGCCTGTGACCTTGTTTAATCCCCTGTCCAACTCCCTTTGTGGTTCAAATGAATAACAGTCACTTGAATACTGTTTTCTTCAGGTTTCCCTTCAACGCCCTGTTTGACTAAAAAACAGCCCAGACTAAAAAAAATGACTCAGGTTTTATACATATCATTCTTGCAGGATCACAGTGTTTATTTGAGCCTTTCCTCATCAGACATTCCAAAGCTATCAGGCATTATGAGCTACTAGCATGTTTTTACTTCTCTTTTACAAAGAAGTAAAGCAGATTGTGATTCCAGTGTTTTTGTCACATGCCATATAGGTGCTTGACTTGCGCTAATGTGTCATCAAATAGACAGACAGGACTTCTGCAGCCAGAGCTTTGAGGAATTTTGAATGTAGCTGTGATGTTTCCCCTGTCTTCTTGATGTCAGCTCATTCCTCTTTCCAATTTTAATTACTGTAACTTCATTGACATGACTGTAATTAAATACAGCATTGCCAAAACAGGTTTTACAAGGTTTAAAATGTATATATTATAATTCTGAACTTTAAAAAGAAAAGACAGTCTTTTTCATTTTCCATCCTTCCTCCTCCCTGCATTTACCCCCACCTTTTACTCAAACGTATGCACCCATGCCCCCCATCCTATGGCCCCAAGTCAGCATTTTAATGCGAGTTTAGTGAACAAATAGCAAGAATCACTTCATCCTTAGGAGCTTGCTCTCCACAGCTGAAGAAAGGAATGAGGTTGTTGTGTTTGCGTGCACTTGTGTGCTTGAGAGGGAGAATGCAGTAGGGAAGAGCATTCTGGAGGGGGAAAGGGGTATAGGCAAGTGAAAAAAGGGGGCATTTGTGGCTGAATGGGGGTTGCCAGGGCTTTGCTGAATGTAGTTTTCCAGCAGCTTGTTGAGATCCCCAGGGAGAGGAGAGTGGAGCACTGTGAGAATAGTGTGTGTGTGTGTGTGTGTGTGTGTGTGTGTGTAATAGGGGGAAAGGAAAGAAACCAAGAGAAAGGGATTTATGGTATGGATAGTTTGGCAGGGTGATGACAGATGATTAGTGCAACACCAGAAATTCTAACACGAGAGTCTCCGATCTTGGCTGAAGGATCTAATTGGAGATTGGAAAAAACAATTAAACCTCACACAAACCCCACAAAGGCAGCATTAATGTTCACTAATACAGTGCCAGCACCCTCTACAACCCGTCTCGATGCAGACACACACACACACACACACACACACACATCCTCAAACTCAAAGTTCTTTCTATAGTTGCAGTGTACTTCTTTTTCCATCCTCTGCATATAATCTGCCTTCAAACCCTTCTCGTCCCCCTTTTCAGTCTTTTTTCATCACATTCCTTCATTTACAAACCCATGTTTGGCCTCTCTCCAGCGTGCCATTGTCTGATTTGTCTCTTAAACCCCCGTCACTATTCCATTCTCTCGCTTTTACCACCTCTAGCCAAACTTACATTCTTGCTGCTGCAAATGGAGCACTGTACTCTTGCAAAGCTGGCAAAAGGAGAAAAATTGGGGGGAAACTGCATGGAAGAAGAAAACAGCAGCAGCTCTCACTGCTGTCTCCATGGTGAGGCTGCTGACCTGGCAATCTGCCCCCTCCCTGTTCAAACCCCTTTCTCCTCAGCTTGGCTTTGACATGCTAAAATATAGAGAAAGAGAGAGAATAGAGTGATCTCTTCAGATGTGGCATCAGGGATATTTGTGATGAATGGCTTGTACCTTGGAGTGTGTGGATTATGCAGCTCTGCAGCCTAGCATATCTCCGAGAGAGTCGTGATCTCACAAAGTTAATGATTTCTCCCCTGCCTGAGACTCACCCTCCACTAAGCCGTCTGCCCTCATGTTTATCTTCACTGTAGGTTCTGAAGTCACTCCTATGTTTGACTTTGTCTCCCTGTGTTTCTTTCCCTCCACCACTCCCGCCTGTCAGTACCCCCTCCCCCTGCTCCTGTCAGCATGTGTCGATCTCTCTCCCTCTCGTTTTGGACTGAGTGTGGTAGTTGAGTGACTGAGACAGAGAGAGACTTCAGAGGCTGGCACAGATTTGAGCAGTCAAAATAACAAGAAAAGGAGATAGGTAGTGAAAAGACTCAAGGAAAGGATCTGAGACAGGGTTTGGTCCTAACTCTGTTGAACAGTTGGTTCACAGCTGGCTCACTCCTGAAGTGTCAGAGTATGTACAGCGGGGCTCTGGAGGAGGAAAAGTGAGCGCTGCAGCTCGTTCACAGTCTGTTCAGCCATGGGGAAATGAATGTAAATTGAACCATTGTTGATTTATTTAACATACAAAGAAGCTGGTTGGATGAAGATTTCCTTGAAAACAGCAAGTCATGGATTCAGACTCAGACTCTCCTTTCAACTACTCCTGGCCTTATTTTCCAAAGATGAGGATGCGAAGGAAGATGGGGAAAAAAGGTAACAGAACAGTAATTAATAGATACAGCAATTCATCTGGCTGTTCTCCCACACTGACACTTAGAGGTGAATAAGTTTCATTAAAGATTGACTGGGTCACTTTTCACTTCACAGACAGAAATGTGTTTGATATGTTTCTGACATATTGGTTTCAGCAGTGTTTGGCAGATGTGTATGGATTCATTTCAGAGAGAAAGCTACTGGCTGTATAAGCACAGGTTGGCCTTACAGCTACATCATGTTACAGATGGCAGACGAAAAGCTTGCCCTCCTTGGCAGACCTGTTTGTCCCCTCACTGTGGAACAATAAAGTTAAAATTAGACTGTTCCCATGACACATTCTTGCTTACAGGCTACCACTGCAGCACTGAGTCAGTCACAGTGAGATAACAGCATGTTTGCCAGTGATGTAACCTGATATCTGACAGTATGTTGGGGAATGTCAGATGTTCACTTGAGGCTGATTGAGTGGTTTGGGGCCTTTGTCATCTTCAGACCATGCTGTCATGTGCATACACATGAACCCCGCTGAGGAGTTGTGGTCTCATGTGACTGTCCATAATGTGCAACAGGGAGGACAGATGCTTAATATGTGCCTTTATATATGCATGCTTAGTTTCCAGCAATTGAGAATCAGTTTTTGTTCTGGTGTCACTGAACATTGGTGGTGTCATTGGAGCTGAAGTTCAGTGTTTCCCTCAGTTTATTATCAGTGTATGAGAAACTTAAGTAAAATAAAGGTAATCCCGGTGCTTTAACCTGCCATACAAATTTGTAGCTTCATTATTATGCATGGGAGAGCAAAAGTTAAAGTGCAAAATTAAACCAGAATGGTTAAACAGTTCACTGCTTGTGTGAGAACAGCTCTGTGTTTGTGGGGAAGAGAAAGAGAGAGAGACAGACACAGAGGAAGCTCGAGTTACTGCCATGTCTGTGTTATGGCTCAGCTCCAGTGGTCTTTTCCTCATCTTTCACCATGCACCTCCGCAAGATTGTCTGTTATTCCTTCTTAACTGTGATTGACATTCGAAAATTCCATACACATTAGTTGTCTGTGCTGTTGGCACTATAGAAACTTTTGAAACCGACCATATATTATCCAATAGAATGTAGATATTTTTGGTTGTCAAACACTGATGTAAAACAGCTTTGGTGTAATAATGCACCTGTAGAGTGAGATGTGATTTCAAGTGTTAATAGCCAGATGGTTATTTCTTTACTCTGAGGACTTGATTGCTGTTCACTCTGGGTTTACTTCTTCCTGATTGTCTCAGGCTACGCGACGCACTGAAATGCAAACACCATGGGAATGCACAATGTGATTCTTGGACCTGGAGGTCGGACTGCAGTGTCATAACTCAGAGTGGGTTTGTACTAGATGTTGGTAGACATTTGTTTTAATCGTTTAAATGGCCCTCCAGGAACTTTGAAATGAAGTAATGACTTCTCCCTTTTTGTAAGGTACAGTAATAATGGCCTCTGTTGTGATTCTGTTTCTTTCTTTCTCTTCAGAGTGACACTTGTTTAGTGTGGTGCTTAAACAGCAACTCATCGTAAAGAAGGAATGGCATGGAGAATTGATCTTTTTCTACTCATAATAAAATAATTTAGGTGTTTACACATGTAATGTGTGTTCATGATTTTGTACAGCAAACCTTTAATTTTGCTGCACAGCTTCCACAGAGAGTGAACCTTGAGAATGAATCGTTGTGATAGCCCTGCCTTCCCCCTTTCCATCCTGCCTTCTTCAGTCTCTCTCTCTCCCAGGGGTTTGCATGGGTTGTAGGGTCACTGTCTGTGTTTAACTGACCTGGTCTGGGAACCTGGCACTGACTGCTGTCTTTGTCTGGGTTTTTGTAGAGCTCCTTCTCGCTCTGTTTTTCTCTGCTGTAGCTCCAGGCACTGCTAATATGTAGGGTTGGCTGTCACTCAGGGAAATGCTCTGAATATCACATCACTCCAAATACACCTTTTGTGAAGAAAGATCCTACACAAATACCCCCACACACTGTTCCGCATACCTTAAATCTCTCTTTGAAATTGCTCTCTGTCTAAGAAATAAAGACAGCTTCTCTGGCGGTATGATTGATTTTGTGCAGCTCTAACTTGTTGGTAATATGAACTCCCTGTTTCTCTGTTATTTCCCCACTTAACTAATGTTAAACACAGATCACGGCATTTGAGAGTAATGTTAACTGAGGCGGTGTTTATGGGTCAGAAGTGTGTGAATGATTGGCCTGTGGCAGCCAGCTGTGGCTTTGAACCTGGCTCAGAACCTGAACTATTAGGCTTGTTTATCAAGTTCCTGATGGGTTAGAATGAAACAGTATCTGCTTTCAAACAGCAGTCTAAGGTCCAGGATCCAAGCCTCTCTCTGTACTTGATGTTAGACTAATTTCTACAGTACATAGTATAAAGTCTAACATGACTATGCAGGTATTATGGATCTGGATTCCAGTTCATATACAGTGTAATGTTTTCATGTGGAACTAAAAGGAACCAGGAGTTTTTTTTTTAAACAGAAGAACATGTTGTAACGTTTATGCCATGTTGCCATTTTTTGACATGTCTGGGAGATATCATGCAGCTTGAGAGATATTTAAGAACTTAAGAGACTTAGGATGGATGTGGATTGGTCACTCTATACCCTGAACCTGAGTCTACTCCTTCAAATCATCTGCTGTACTCATCAGTGTCTGCTTGACTCCCTGTTGCCTCTCAGATTTACTGGACTCACCACCTACAGGAAGCACAACTGATTGTTGGTCTGATTTATTCTTTGTTATAAATACTGGACCACTCTGCTTGTATTCTGTGGTGCTGGCAGCTTTGAAACTATGGATTTGTTTTTAAAGAAGACTGAGTCATATTTTTATAGCTGGTTGAGGAGTTCATGCGGAAACAGCAGGGCCAGACATGTTTTTTTACCACTGGCATTGTTGCAGACATGGCTTACCCATTGTAAAGTGAGACTGTCATTAGGAACATAATAACATAACATGAACTAATGAGGGTGCCTCCTGTTATTAGTTTGATGAGTACAACACTGGTACTACTGGTTGGTAATGTGATTAGAAATGAGCTTTTTTTCTAATGCATGCTCAGCAGAATGTGAAATCTCTTATTTAGTGCTGCACTTCACATATATAATGCAGTTATCACCCATCAGCCACAGAATTTAAACAGTCTAATTTTGTGTGTTTACTTATAAACCCCTCTGAAGCATCGAGGGTGGTTGGTAGATTTAGGCTTGGTTGGGGGGGTAAGTCAGCATCAGCTTGAATGGTTGTGCCAGGTGTTGAACACGTGAGGAATTTGACTCTGGTACAGTGGCTCTCAATAGTTATGTACATTGAGAGCCGCTGTACATGGCTTTCAGTTGCTTGTAATTTCAAGATATAGTTTTGTAGGTGCAAGTATATGATTGGAGTTTGGGAACCTAAAAATGATAATCTTTTCAAATTTATGTCAATTCCTCAGAATCAAATGCAAGGCTTCTTTCTCCATTGAATTATATTTTTTTTAGATCAATATGATTGCTAAGGTTTAGCAGCTGTACGGTGAAGAATTCATCATTGTTGAGACATAGACATTATCAGGGCAGTGCATCATGAGTATTCAATTCATGTAGTATGTCATATGCTTTATATAGTGCATATACAGCCATAACAATATGAACACTGACAGGTGAAGTGAATAACATGATCTTGTTACAGTGGCACCTGTCAGTGTGTGGGGTGTATTATTATGTGTAAGGATCTGAGTGACTTTGATTTTCACAAGGGTCAAACTGTGATGGCTGACGACTGGGTCAGAGCATCTCCCAGTTTGCAGTGGTTAGTACCTACCAACAGTGTCTAAGGAAGGACAGACAGTGAAGCGGAGACAGAGTCATGGACACCCAAGGCTCACTGATGAAAAGATTCCAGGGTGTCTATGAGGAGAAACATTCAGCAGCTATAGTGGTGATATCACATCTGCTGAATATGTTTAACAAAATTAACTCTAACTCGTCCTCACGACCACAGTTTTCACACCTTTTACATAATATTTTCACGGCATGGTCGACTCATCTGTGCTCTTCCTGACAGTAGAATTATGGAATCAAACTGCTTCACAGAAAATGCACAGTGAGCTGCAGAGAGACACGAGCACCAAACAACTTGCCACATTGGCTCCTGTGTACACAGTGTTAGTCGGGTGGTCATAATGTTATTTCTGATCAGTGTACTTGCAGTATATACAGTACATTTTGGGCACCACATACCCTCTACACTAGACTCTTTGTTTTACTGAGCTGAAATTTTAGCACATTTGTTTTTGTAAACACTTTTTTACTTTACTTTGTTTTACTTTAGCACATTTGTTTTTGTAAACACTTTGTTTTGCTCCTCATGTTACAGTTTCACTGTTATTTTTTTAAGTCTCATTAAGCTGTACATTAAGCTTAAACAATGTTTTACCATGTTCTGTCTTATCAAAGGTTTCTTGTACTAAGTACTGAAAAAGTGTTGTGGAGAAGCTGAGTTTTTTACAGAGCAACATCCCAGAGGGAGCTGTGTGTGTTTTCAAAGCAGGCTACTGCTCACAGTGGCTCTACTGTGTTGGACGTGGTCCTCTCAATGCTACTGTGTGCTCACCAGGAGAGATTTCCACTCGCTGACTGTATTTCAGACAGGGTGGGGAAAACTGTTCCTACAGATTCCCACTCACAACTTTATGCACACTCATTTATGTGTGTGTGCAAAGAGTCATTCAGACAGTTACACACACACACACACACACACACACACACTCACTCACTCATACAGAGACTTTTGGTTCAGAACAATGACATGCAACTGCCCAGGGTGTCTGTCACTTCCTGTGTTTGTGAGGAGTTATTTGGTGTTACTGTGGAAACCAAATGTAATATTGAAAAGTTCCCCACTCTCTGGGTGGTTCTGTCCTTTTCTGTAGAGAAAAATCAGTGCATAAGGGACAGCCAGACCTCGTCCCCGACTCTGGCTGCAGCTGCCAGACTGTCAGCGATGATACACGGCAAAGACAGAGTGTATGCCAACGCCATGCTGGTGGACCAGGTGAGTCAGGTTGAAATTAATGTTTTTTTGTATCACTTTTAAGAAAAAATATGTAACATGCATCAGTTATATAGACTAAAACATTAAGTGAAAACAGACCTGGCTCATGTGATGTAAAATGTGCCATTACAAGAGCTACAATCAGCTTCTGGAGTAGTCCCTTCTCTTTGCCTTAACTTCCTTATTTTCTGCCCCAGGTCAATGATGCAGATATTAAATACCGCTCTCCAGAGGAGGAAGAGGTGAGCCATGTGCCCCATGTTGGCAGCCCATGTTGGGACTCCCTCTCCATGACTCCCCCTGACTCAGGAATCTGCTCCCTGAACCGGCACCCATCCTCACCCCATAACGGGGAGAGGGAAATCCAAGCTTGTGGCCTAAAGAATGACAGGGAGCCATCCCCTTGGACCTCTCCCCCCTCTCCCTTTGCTACCTCTCCATCTTTTTCTTCCTCCCCCTGGACCTCCACCTTTCATTTGTTTGAGGGAGCACAGCGGCATCAGGCGCAGCCGTACCTGCCAGTTTCTCCTGCTTTGAATCACGGAGGATGTGGCTTCACAGAGGAGAGTCGAGGCCTATGGTAGGATGCTGTTGCTGTTAATTACTTCAAATATTAAGTACTCAAAGTGTGAGCTATTATATTAATGAAAGAACTTTTAAATGTGACTCAGCCGGGTGAGTTCTTTTATGTTAAAGTGAAAGAACATTACGACCAACTCTCTTGATTTATTTTAAAAATAAAATCAGTTCAGCAAGCGTCTATACCAATTTATTTTACGATCTTGTTGATGAGAATTATAAACATTTGTGTCTAAACTATACTAAAAAAAAATCATGCGTTTGGAATTTCTTGACATTTAGTGCAGTGACTGTAGTCACTGAAGGTGCGGGAAAGTGACAGGAAGCCTGGACACAATTGAGCTGTTTGCATGCTGATATTGCTGAACATTCTTTCCAGTTTCCTCAGTGCTGCACTATCTTCTGTATTAGGACAGAAGCAGGGGAAAGGGCCGCATGGTTTAAAGCCTGATTAGAGCCTGGATTTGACCATAATGGCTATGATGCTTTTTAAGATCACGGACATTATCTGCTCTGATCTATATGAAATGGTGTCATCATGGTGTACAAGTTGGCACATTACTTTATGTTTTAGATTTATGAGAGTTATGAAGCAGTTGGAGGCGTCATTATCATATCAGATTTTACTGATTTTGAAGAATGCAATCTGAATAAAACTGAATGTAATACCCTAGCTTCGGCTAGTTAATGACAAACAGTTTGTCTGCAGCTGTAATGTGTAACACCAAGACGTTTGACATTCAGTAGAATATTGTTTTTATGTCCTCTAGTTTGTTACCAGCTTCATTAAAACATGTAGGCTGAAGTAGCAACAATCATTACTGAATATTTCCACTGCTGGATCATAAGCCATCATAAGCCAACTCTGTGTGTATGTGTGTGTGTGTGTGTGTGTGTGTAAACAGTCCTAGTCTTGAGTGTGACAGTGGAGAAGAGGACATACTAGGATATTCCTACCCCTGCTTGTCATTAAAGCAACAGTCCATCGTGCGGTCCAGCTCAGGAGAGGAGAGGGACTCTTTTGACACTTCACCAGATTTTAACTCCACACACTCCAACAGCACGCACAAGCATACCAAGGTACACCCTCCCTGGGGATGTTATATTTAATATTCAGCTGCACTGCTTTTCACCATGTATGTAGAATCACGTTGTGGGACAGATTGACTGCAGAACATTTCCTCCTGGTTCTCCCACTTCTTTTTTCCAAAACACTACAGTATTTACCATGTTGCCATTTAGACAGGAGATTTAAAAATGTGATTATTCTTACCAGTTGCATACTTCCATCATTTTCTTCTGGACTGACCACATGGGGTGGGTAGAAGTCCCTGAGTTGTGGTGTAAGAAGAAGCAGTTATGCTGAAACATCTGTGTTCTCTATCAGCCATGTGTTTTTTTAAGCTAAAAAATAAAACGTAATGTTGAGGCATCTTTCAGTGTGAAGGCCTTTGTTTGTTGTACCCTTGCTTAGAGCATCTGACTTGTACCTTGAGCACACTCTTTTTTTTGGAACAATAGTTTTACTTGACAGTTAAACAGGAATCTTAGTTTCCATTGTGCTGAACTGACCAGATTTGTATTTGAAATTATCAGTTAAAACATTTTTGCTTTGGAATTTGGAGCAAAAATGCATCAGAAATTAAACACTCAACTCTCATGTCACACAGTAAATGCAAAGTATGGTAATACAGTATGTCAGACACTGCCTGTCTTACAGATAAGCTCAGACTGTCAACAGCTCAACGATATGAATGAAAAGCCAGACATATTGAGTGGCTCTGTTTATGCTGCGTCATTCTGCTGCTCTCCAGGTTTCTTGTTCGCAGGACTGAACCTGTGAACCTTTGCTTACTGAACTACCTAAACTGTTACTCGTGATTTCTTTTCTGTCACAGAACCCTAAGGAATCCGAGCTCCGTCTGCGCTCCTACTCCTCCTCCTCCCCCAAGGCGAAGCAGTCACGGCCGCTGCTAAACCGTGATGCAGCCATCACTGACCTCGCAGAAGGTGAGTGAACTTTAACCCCTTTGCCCTTTGACCTTTCTGTTCCCAATAGCCAGCTGAACAGGCACATGTGCCACATTTCTTACAGGGGTAAAACCAGACAGGTGCCATAAATCAACTGGGCTTCTGTGTGTTTAGAGTTGGCTCTGCTTCCATACAGCACCACTACTCATGTGTATGAGTAAGTCTGCTGCATGAAGGCCATGTTTTATCCAGTATATATGGTGTGTTCAGTAACATCAGCACTTAAAACTATCTCCTTCTGTCATTTAAAAATATATTTATAAAAGATGGAATATCTGGAATAAAACTTGTCTTGATGTAGAAAGGAATCAAATCATTTTTCTGCTTTTTGTGTAAAATGATTTGCCCAGGTGAATGTTCAGTGCTGTTTTTCATTGTAGCCCTGCATCAGTGGTAACTCTTAGTTCTTGGTAGTGAGTGTGGCCCAGATGATGTGCACTACACAAACCACTCTCAGCCAAGAACATATTCATTATTATTATTTTGAATTGTTTGATGGTCAAAAGCAAACTTTCTACAAATGTTGATGCCAAGACCTGTTTCCTGGTAAAAATGTAGTTCTCTCAAATGTTCATTTTAAATAATTAGAAGTCTGAATCTTTAAAATTTTTAATAGCCTTTAGATTTTGGAAAATGTTTTCCTAGGTAACACTTGTAGATCATCCGAAACAGAAATCGATTTTACTCTGAGGGTTCTGTTTTACTTCCATTTACCATAGGTACGTGTTTTGTTTCCCGCCTGGTTTTTATTTTTTCAACCCTCACTGATGTATTTTTTCCAGGCAAAACTTGTTTGCTGCATTTGTTCTCTCTCTGTGGGGGTCTGCTGGATCCAGATTGTCTGAGGGATTTCTGTCTGTGCTGCTAACTCAATTCTGATTTGGGATGATGGTTTTAACCCCCTTGGCTGATTCACTTAAAATCTATAATAATGTCTAGCTTTTTTGACATATAGTTCTGGCTTACCTATTAACTTGTTTTTGTTACTCTACAGAGCAGAAAGCATCCAGTCTGACTGAGACATCCAGAGAAAAGAGGTAAAACCAGTGTATCACCTCATGAGATCACACAAGATCCACTTTGCAGGGTCTTGCTCAGATGTTCTTACATATTTAGGCATTTGTACTGACCAGTGGTTAGCATTTGGCTCGTGTGTGTGTGTCTCTAGTGGCAAACCTGTGGTTGGAGTCTGAGTGTGTAGGATGTGACATACTTCTGTTGCAATAACCTTGGGTAAACAGCAGACTTCTGAAACATCTAATTTTCTTGACCACATCAGTAATACAACATTTTCACTGTGTACTTACTGTAGTAGGTATTTGTGGTATCGCTTTTTAACAATCCTAACGTCACAGATTTTGCTGTTTCCATTTCATAAATGCCACAATCCATATTCATTTTAAAGTTGATGTTATCATACTCCCTCATACATTTATCATGTGCTAATACATTTTGTCTGCTAATAATCATGCACTGCTAACAGAGGAAACATTTTAGAATATTAGACAATTAGATTTACATATTAGATCATTAGATAATTGTATTAGAATAGATCATATTAATACAACACCAGCCTGATCAGATTTACCACTATTTTTGTCCCTCACTATTTCAGCATCCATACATTGTTAACACAATCTGGATATTGCCCATGCCTTAAGAATTTGCTAATATTTTGTATGGTTAACTGAAATAATATGTTGCAAACAAACATCAATGTGTTTCCATACACATTTTATTAGACACCACACTTATTATTAACATTTTGAGTCTCCAGATGAGCTGAAACACAACAACCTGGTCTGAGGTGTGTTATATCCATGCAGGGTTTTGGGTTTCCGTAAACGGGCCCAGTCAGCAGAGGAGGAGAGCAGCTCGTCACTCGAACACCTCACCCTCACAGAGTTCCTCAAAGAGTATGTTTTCACCAAAACGACCTCACAGCCATGCATGTGTGGCTTAACTTTTTGTAACCCTGTTGTAAAACCATGCCCCGACTCATCCAATAACCAAGTGAATTTAGTGCAGCTGTATTTGGTCATATATGAATCTTCACAAGTATATTAACATTTGTCATGTCATAGTATAGGTTTGTGATGTTGCATGTATTCTTCTTTCTTTGGTTTCTGTCATTGTCACCTTTCATCTAGAATGTCTAATGTAACTAGCATAATTTGCTGTAAATAGTTGACAGATTATTAATTGCAACTTGCCAAGGTCGTACTATAAATACCATCCACTAGAGTCTTTAGTAAGTTCCAAGCATGCCAGGCTTCTTGTTAAGAGCAATAATCTGTAGACCGGGGGTCCTGGAAGACTGTCTTTCATTCCAGCGTGACACCAGTGTAACTAATTATTGAAGTCTTCTCGGTCTGTAAAGATTTATTTCGTGTGCATGTTGGGCTTGAAAGCTTCAGTCTTCTACAGGCCAAAATAAGTTGTGATGACTACTGACTGAAATGTTCACACTGAAACAGGATTGAGGATGAGGAGTGGGCTAAATACATAATCCCATCCAAGGTTGAGTCAGAGAAGTACAAAGTCAGCCGGACCTTTAGCTTCCTCAAGAGCAGGATGTCCAGCACTCGCAACAAGACAAAGGTGAGGTCTTTACTCCAGTGGAAAAATGACTTGCTGGCCAAGGCATAACCTAAATGTATTTAAAACATAACTGAAAAGTCAGAGCTGAAAGACCTGCTGTAAAAAGTTTACCACCTCATAGATGAGCTAGGTCTGAATTCCTTTGCTGGGGAGCCATTGTCTGTGCATGGTGCCTTTATTTGGTGAGGGACAAAATTCCCTCTCTTCAGGTCTTAGCAACGGAACACAGTGAAAATATCCTCTTACATAATGTGTAGACTCCCTCCTCACAGCATGTGGAAACAAAACACATTCCATAGTATGCTTTGTCTTATAAACACACGTGATTGTGTTTAAGAGCTCGTTTCCATGTATGTACAGACTTTTGATGCATATGAACAGCAAAAAACAAACGCACTCTTCGACTTCCTTATGAAGTTTGATCATAAGGTAAACATGGCACTAACACGCATATAAACAGAGGAATCCTCCCTAATGTCCCTTAAGGATAAAGCGCCACAAAGGCAGCTTCCACTTTAGAACAGGTGCGTTTTAGCAAGAACATAACCACTGTATGCCTCTGTCTGCCTGCTGCTCACAGTCATGTTGTTTCTACTTTGGGTGGTTTGTCATGCTGTGGTATTAGCTATAATCAATGTTATCCAAATGATCACATTTGAAATATTTATGACTTGTTTCAGGTGAAGGGGAAAGAGGTAAAGGAAAAAAAGGAGAAGACAGGAGGCACTAATGGACACCAGTTTGTGCCCGTCTCTCCATCTGGTCCTGCTTTCTGTGTGGCCTGTGAAAAGTCTGTTTCTGGGAAGGAGCTGTTGCAGTGCTCCAGTAAGTATTATACTGTCAGTGCTGCTGTTTTATGTCGTGTGGTGGCTGAACTGTTTAGGGTTTGTGTAAATCTCTTTGCACGTGCTGTCTTGATGTTTTGTTTAGTAGAAGATATATAAAGTTTTCTTCTTCCCACAAAGTCGAGATCGATCTTGAGGAGCAGGATAGTTTGACAGCCATCTGGGCACTGAACCCAGAGATGTGGTCATTTTGCTTATTATCAGTAAGATGATGAAATTATCTGGAATTTCATCTGCTTATATCCGCAGACTGTTTCCTGAATACCCATAAAAACTGTCGAGAGTCTGTTGCAGCCTGTGGAAAGGTAACCTACAATATCGCACACATCAAATGATTTCAAAACCATAATGACCTTACAGCATTAAATGTGGCATCTACCATAAGGGGAGCTTGACCTATACTAGGGACTAAATCCAGGGGTTGTCAAAAGCCTGTCAAATGACCATGTCCAATGGTCTGAGACACGTGCAGTGTATCAGCAACATCCCCAGTTCAAATCCTGTTTTTGTTGCAGGTCATTCATGCTGGGAAAAAAAAAAGTTGAGGCCTGTCTCTACCTCAGCAACTGAAGTAGAGGCAGGCCTCAGATATATGAACATCAGAGATCTGAAGTAAGAGAGGATGTGGATACAGTAGAAAGGGTAAATTCCAACACTTGGTGACAAAGGAAGTCCTGCAATGTGTTAAACATCATAAAACTGATGATGTATAATGAGAACATGTGTGGAGGTCGCTTTGTTTTTGTCTCTGCATAAATTGACTGAAGATATTTTTACAGTCATAACACATTAATATTTACAGCCCGAACACTGACTTAAATCTGTTGATGTTAATATGATTCTTTTCCCAGAAGCCACAGGAGAGGAATGCATTACAGATGAAAAGCAAGACCTTGTCTCTCCCACAGAGTGAGTCAGGAATTACAACATGCACCCCCCTTGTCCTCCTTTTGGTCTTTTTTTTTTAAAGTTTTTACCTGTCCTCCCTTGTTTCCTCTGTAGGAGATTAAGCAAGGCATTGCTCCTCAAACCCATGCTCTCCCCTCTTCCATGTTGTTCTTTCCCTGGTAAAAAGTTAAATTTTAATCTATCACTGTGGGAGAGCTGGCCCGGATCGTGTTTGTGTGTCTGTTTGTGCATGAGCACTGAGGTTTCTTTCTCACTGTGGCAGGATCATTTTATTTCTTAATGTGAAGCTTTGTGTTTTAACTGTTTGATGTCTGACTGAAGTGTCAAGGTTAAACAATCCGCAAGTACTACAATGTATTGTCACATCTACTGGCTCCATGCTCAGTTAAACAGTGAAAGATAATTCAATAACTATTAAATTCAGTGACTCCACAGATATATGAACATCAGAGATCTGAAGTATTTATTTGTCGAATGGGAAGGCCTCCAAGTGTCACTTATCCTTCTTCCTGCTCCTCTTGATCGCCCCTTTAGACTCTATGAAAGACAACTCTCCAGCCTCTCTTTTCTCCTCCTCCTCTTCACTTCCAACGATGACCAGAGAGAAGAGGGAAACAGTCGTGCCTCTCTCCAAAAACCTCTCCATCACTGTAGACAGCAGGTATGATGTCAGTATACATTACATTATTTTAGTGCACAAGTACATTAAATCAATGCTCGGATGTGTTAAATTTTGAATGTGATCACTACTACAAAAAAATAAAAACAGTTAAACTCAACTTTTCATAAATTTAAAATTGAATGGGTGAGGTCAGCCAATATGCCATGAAAGACAACACCAGTGATTTACTTTTACATTTATTATCCATTGTTGTCCAAAAACTATTAAACACAGCAGTGACATGTTTGCTCTGGTGTGGATATGAGTGAGATTTTGTACTTGCACATACTGTGGAAAACACTGATGTTAACTTGATTCAGGCCACAAAAATATTAGATCTTGCACATTGGCAGGAAACAGTCAAATGTGACTTCAGCCTACAACTACTGGAATTCATTTCAGAATGCCTAAATAAATAAAACCTTCGTTCACAATCACGCACCCACATGCAAACACTTAAAGTTCATGTTCAGTTCGAACCTGCTTTGTTTCTCTACAGACAGCTGGGCGAAGCGGCAGGGCCGGACTTGGAGTGCAGTGTGACAGCTCACACTAACAGCTCATTGTCTGATGAGGGAACGCTGGTCCTGATGACTCCCCCGTCCGTTGACCCGCCAATCACAGCACAGGGTGAAGAAGAGAGACATTCAGGATTTACATTTTTCACACAAGTACATGGATCACATTGAGAATTACTATAGGGGGCACAGTGGTTCAGAATTAAGACCATTAATTTTGCTCTCACAGATGCTGTTAATGCTCCTCTACTGAGCGACTTGTCAGCTGACCTACTGGGACTTGAGGCAGAGTCATGGAGTCTTATGGTCAGTCCGGAGTTTCGCAGGCAACACGACAGGCACACCATCAAACGACAGGATGTTATTTATGGTGAGACAGTTATTTCTTTCAACAGCATGCTTTTCATTCTCTAGGAAGCCAAACATTTCATCTGCACCTGTGAACATGCACATTTCCACCAGAAATTTGAATGTCCATAATCCATGTTCTCTGCCCACTACAGAGCTGATGCAGACAGAGCTGCACCACATCCAAACCCTGACGGTCATGTCTGAGGTGTTCCGTAGAGGCATGCTGGAGGAGCTGCAGCTGGACTGGGACTGCGTGGCCCGGATCTTCCCCAGCTTGGACCCTCTGCTGCTCTTCCACAGGAACCTCTTTGGAGCACTGCAGGAACGCCGACAGGCTGCAACCCAACCTGATAACCCTCGAAATTACCTCATCCGTCAGATTGGAGATATACTGCTTCAGCAGGTTAGTGAAGATGGATTCATGCACGTGAGTGCACACACACAGATACACGTCTGTTCGTATGTGATGTTCTCCCTCTCAGTTCTCAGATGAAAATGCTCTAAAGATGAAGCAGGTGTATGGAGAGTTCTGCAGTCACCACACTGAGGCTGTCAATGTCTTCAAAGAGCTGCAGCAGCAGAACAAGAAACTCCAAAACTTTGTTAAAGTAAGCTCCTGGTCCTAGACCACCTCTGTTTTTCCACATTTAGGGTTTTTCCTTTCAGTTTCACTGGTTTTTACCTTTCTGCTCACAGCAACAGAGTAATAACTCTCTGGTGAGGCGGAGAGAGGTGCCAGAATTTATCCTGCTGGTCACTCAGCACATCACCAAGTATCCATTGCTGCTGGAGAGGATATTAAAGTACACTCGGGGTATGTCATCTACTGTGTCCTGAACAAAACTGTTATGTAAGCAGAGAGCTGATGGACACTAAACACTTGTCTTTCTGTACTTGTGGACTGTAGAATATATAAAGTGCTGAACTTTTTATTTTTACTTTGGGAGCAGCATAGTTGAGAAACCGTATCATAATACAGTAATTTTTTTTATGATCTCTAATCCCACAGAGGAAAGCCAGGAACACTCAGACTTGTCAAGTGCTCTGGCTCAGATCCGTGATGTTATCACTGCAGTGGACCTGACTGTGAATAAGTATGAGAGGTGTCAAGAGCTGCAGGAAGTGCTCACCCGGCTGGAGAACAAGAGCTTTGCCAAGCTAAAGAATGGCAAGGTGTTTCGCAAGCAGGACCTGCACAGCAAACACCGGGATCTGCAGCGTAAAGGACTGGTCTACTGGAAGACTGCCACAGGACGGCTGAAAGGTGTGCATGTGATCATCTGTGCCACCAGACAGTTTGAGATTTGAGACAGCCTAATCTCCATGTATTTCTGCTTTTCTGTTTTCAGATACCTTAGTGCTTCTTCTCACAGATGTTCTGGTTTTCCTACAAGAGAGAGACCAGCGCTTCATATTTGCTGCTGTGGTAAGCCTCAACCTGAGTAACAGTGAAATTACAGACACCATGCCTAGTTGTCTATCCATTTCTCTCCACCTTTAAACCCATCTTTATGGTTTGTATTCACTTTTTCAGGACCAGAAGCCTCCAGTAATCCCTCTGCAGAAGCTCATTGTTAGAGAGGTAGCCAATGAGGAGAGAGGGATGTTCCTTATTTCTGCCTCCTCAGTGGGACCAGAGATGTATGAAGTTCATACCACCACCAGAGAGGAGAGGAATGCGTGGATGAGACACATACGACAAGCTGTGGAGAGGTGTGTACATACAGTATATGTGTTTGCAGTCAGGTCTGTGGTGTTTGTCCAACTATTAACCTGTGTGGGTCCCTGGTTAATGCACATTTATATGTGTTACTCATTATCTAACCTACTGGTCTACCTGGCAGTTGTCCTGAAGAAGAGGAGGAGGAGGAACAAAGTACTGAGACAGAGGAGGCCAGGCGGACTGCGGAAGTGAGAGTTCAGAAGATCGCCAAATTCCAAGGTACCTGTAAGAAATTATTTGTGCTCGCATGGTAATGTTATGTTAATCAGAAACTCATTTGGTGACAGTGTGAAGAGTTTGTGTATTCACAACATCAAAAAACATTTTGTGATATAAACCATTAACAACAAAAATTGTAATTGTTGTGTGTGTTTTGTACAGAGACACTGTTGGGCCAGGACCAGCGTATCTGCAACAGTCTGGAAGAGAAGCTACAGCTGTATGCTGATCTTACAGAGTTAACCCTCCGCTCACCAGATACTGTACCACGTCGCCACCTGCTGGTACAACCAGACACAGACAATGAGACACCCCAACAGGCCGCCTCCCTACTCACAGCTGCACTCAGAGAAGGTGGGAAAGTTGCTGTGTGGCTGCATGATGCTACATAAATATCTGGGTAATGATTATGACTAGTGACTAACCTACATAAAAATTAACATGAATGCACCATCCTAGAAGATTTCAGTCAATCATCATTTTCATCTGCATCTCTACTAATCTTGAATACAGATCTTTTGAGCAAAGACAGACCTATAATGTGATTTTATACACAACTGTATAGAGGAAAGAATATAAGCAGGAACAAAATGGAAACCCTGTTTTTACATGGTGCACCCACACATGTCTTTGTCACTTACACTGGTTGATTGAAGACTCTTTTTCAGGACTGTGTTGCCATGTACAGGTGTTTTATTGACATCTCCCTTTTCTAGTTAGTTTTGTGAAAGAATATTTACTCTGTCTTCCTGAGGCACTTAAAGTAAACACTTTAGTTGTTCATTTTCTTAGGCTCCCGTTGCCTTTGCAACATATTGTGTTTGATTTGATAATATTCCTTGCATAGCTCAACCTAGAGGTTTAATCAGCCAGAATTAGAGAAAACTGAACATTTGTTTTAATTAGAATTGTGTATTAGACTTGGAAATTTCAGTAAAATGACTGCAAATAATATGAAAGAATGCCTTTGTCTACATACTGAATAATTTATTGAAAGTGATGTGGTATACTGTAGGTTTCTGATGTCATGACTGGCATTTACAAAAGACTTTTTCCAGAATAAACATGAGTTTTGCTTCTTCTGCAGCGGAAAATCTGATCAGCCTCCTGCAGGCTTGCGATAGTGTTTCTGCACAGTGTCAGAACTCTTCTGTCCAAGGACAAGAGTGCTTCAGCTACAACAGCCAAGGCAGTAGCATCCAGGAGTCTCCCTCTGAACGTGAGTCAGATTTATACTGTAATACTGAATGTCAACTTGTATGACTGTCCTTTCTGTTGGCATTGCTCACATACTGCTTGACCTTTATTGATGTGGGTGAACCACACTGTGTAATATGTGTTGACCAAGACATTCTTATCTTCCTTTTTGTTTCTTCAGCAGATTATCTGAGTACGCTCAGTATGAGCTCCACCTCGCTTGGATCAGACAGTGAGTTAACAGGGTTGGACAGCGTGTTGTTGAGCTCATCTGTCGAGCTGAGAAGAGGAGACGCCAAAGCGACACTGTTAAAGGTTCATCTACTCTACTGCCCCATGAGCTGTGTTCATTAATGGATAAATTTACATTTCTGTTCCCCTATAATAACACATTGTTCTATAGGTGACAGAGAGTGTCCAGAGCCTGACTCAGCTTCTCTATAGTCTGCAGGTGAGAGAAGACACAAGTCTCAGCATCTGTAGCTAACTGAATGAGTTAATAACTGGATTGAAAGGACAAGGTTGATATTAAATACTGGTTACAGTTCATATACTGTGAATTCATGTTAACAATGGTATGTAAAAAAAAGTACTATAGTTTGTCTAAGATGTTTTAATAAGCGATTTCAAAAGGATATGTATTCAACAATACACTGGACTCAGATGATAAGAAATGCATAAATGTCCTAGGTCTTGATATGAGAACGAGTGCGATCAGGTGTCTCATCTTTGTGTTTGCAGGCAGCTGTGACCCTCCAGGACAGCTACTATGAAGTCCAGAAACTCCTTCTCCAAGAGAAAGAAAGACCTCGGCTCCGAAATGTCACATCACTCCAAAACAACTTGGTATCACTCAGATTTATTCATGCTGAAATAAATGCATATAGACCCAAACCCATGTATTTTCGGGGTTTGAGAAAGTTACACTAGGATTTAGTTTTTTAGTATTTTTGAAATAATGCTGGAAAAGATTAGACATTTCTGTTGTTATTCAGGAGCAGGAGAGGCCAAGGAGTGTTGACAAGAAGGGTTTGGAGAGAAAGAGAGAGGAGGTAGATGAGGTGCAGAAACTCCATGTGAAACTGAAACAGGAGCAGCAGTGCTGGGACAAAGAGTGTCTGGCCAGAGACAAACAACAGGTGAGCTGCTGCTTATGTTTGGACTTAAATGTTCTCTCATTTGTCTCAGTCACTTGTCTTTCCTGTCTCTCTCTATTCTCATTCCATGGCAGCTTGGTGTTGCACAAAAGAATGCTGTGGTTGACACTGTGCACACAGAGGCCTCAACCATATCTTTCCTCTGTGCCAGGTTCTGATTAAGTTGTATCTGAATCAGAGCTATTAAAAGTAAAACTGCTAGTTGTATCATATCCTTGACTAAATAGAATTACTAGAAACAAGCAGAGATTATAATTACATTTCAGCAACATTAAAAATGAAGGGTGACACCTGTGACACATGAACTCCCCCGGTCAGATAATGTTAGCTGGTAGTAGATGTCATCAGTATATAATATGCAGCAAAGTTCAGATAAGGTGTTGTAATTTCCTTTTTCCTCTGACCTCCGGTGGGCAGTGAGGCCTGTATAGTACATACTCTAGGTCTTACTAGCTGACTAGTGTCTAAACATTTGCAACAGATACACTGACTGAAACATGTCAGCAAAACACTGCTGTCTCTTAAGGCTTTTGTTTGTGGATTTTCTCTGATCAGTGATGATTTTTCCCTTACTTAGTTCTTAATGTCAAAGTGAAATGGTGAATTTCAAAATAAGCATTTGCTTTGCTTGCTTATATGTGAGTGTGAGTGAATTTGTTGTGCTGTTATTCCTTGTGCCTAAACTTGGCTAAGTGCAAGAGAAGGGAAACAATACACAAACGACTCTAAATCTGCTTAGCACACTTCTAAAGCCACCCAAGAAAGAGTCTGCCTGAACTCTCTGATGTGCATGTGTCTTGCATGTTTACAGAATGAGCAGGAGAGTTTGCTGCAACAGCGAGAGCAGCAGTGCTTCCTGAAGGCAGAGTGGCTGCGCTGTGAGCGTGAGGAGCTAGAAGCCCAGCTCCTGGAGTATCAGCTAAATCTGGACAGACTGAGGGAGGGTCAGAGAAGTGTGGAGAAGGAGAAGGAGAAGGTGGACGCCCAGCAGTGGCTTCTTCAGAGCTGGAGACATAATCGTCAGAGCAGCCTGCCTGTTACAATACCACTGGATGGATACAAGGTAAGAGATGGAGGAGGCAGGAGAGACAGGAACAAAGAAAAAGGGGGGATGAGTGGTGTGGATATTAAATGTTTCCCAAGATATGAGGAATGGGGGGAGGGGGCACTGGACACTGCTGAGCAAACTGTATCTACCCTTCTTTTTTAATGTTGTCCCAGGTGCCCAGCCACATGCGCTCAAGCAGCCTGGATAGTAATTGTTCAGTGTACAAGAGCGAGGCGGCCCTACTCACCTCCGTCCAACAGAACCACCTAAATCATCCTGCCAACAAAAACCAGCACCAGCATTTGCTTAATTCACAGAGGAAGAACCAAGATGGTCTTCTGCATGGCTCCAGCTGCACCGCTAACCTTGGCCTCAGTGCCAGCCTGTACAACAGCCTCAACACGCTGCTGAGCCAGGCACACAACAAACAGCCTGCAGATGGTCTGATGTACCCAAACTACAGCAACAACCATAGCTTCCCTCAGCCTCTGGATGATTCTGTTCACCCGTTTAGCAGCAAGGTCACTGAACAGCCACAGAGGACCAACAACAGTAAGATGATTAACTATACTGTATGAAATCATACAAGACTGTAAGAAGCCTCACTTTTTTATCCTGTTACAATGAACATTAACTTTCTTTCTGATGTCTTTGCCCAGTCCTCCAAAACATGATTTTTCTCTTGACAGTTTGTTCTCCTTTTAGCAGACTTCAGCCAACCACTGAACACACAATCCCTGAATCCCTGGAGGTCAGAAGTCACAGGTCATGAACTTTACGAGGACAACCACTCTTCATCTCCCTCTCTTACTCCCCTTCTTCCTCATCAAGCTTACCTCTCTCTTGAAGGACAGAAAAGAGAGGAGGGAAATGAGGACAACATTGTTTATCTGTGAGAATGAACAATGTAAAGTGCCTGACATAACTGGACATTATCTGTTGTGTGGTGTGTGTGTGTGTGTGTGTGTGTGTGTGTGTACATTTATATCCATCTAAATGTGATGGATATACAAGTTTTTAAAACCTGAATAATCAAACAAGAGAATAGTTGCAGGGAGGAAGTATGCACAGACATTCTGTGAGCCTTTATCAAGGTATGCGGTGGCTATTAATTATTCTCTTCCTGCATGATCAAGCCATTGTGCCTTTTTGTATAAAAGCTCTCTGTAAATCGGCTTTTATACTTGAACTCCCCATTTTTATTTCTACTATGATTCTTTTTACTATCTGTTGCACTTGTTTGATGGCCGAGGTAGCTTTGCACTGCAAGCACTGGGACCTGAAGTAATCGGAACAGATGTTTTACCACGAGCACTTAAAAAAAAAAAAAAGGAAATATTTGAAAAGCCAATTGAACCCTTCCCTAAACTATGTATAGTTATTTTTCCATGTGATCTTTAATAATATTTATAAGGGATTGTGTATCTAAAATATATAGATAAATACTGACATTGTTGTATAAAGGTTACATATATGTGTAGTTTGATGGAAAGGCTACCTATGCACACTGTTGCAAAACAAACACCTATCATCTTTCTCACTTAAGTGCCAAAAATTGTGCTATACTGTAAGTGATTTCTATAAAGAATTGCTATGTTTACTGATAATTTATTGTGTGCATATTGCTTCATGCACTGTCAACATACTATTTTAAATGTTCTCTTGTAATCTCTGTAACCAGAACTGTGCTGTTAATATTGAGCTGTATATAAAACTTGTTGCAAACATTTTTAAGGATATTTTGAGATCAGTTTGGCATTTACACACCTCTTCTATGTCCACTGTTGTGCAATACTTTTACAGTCATTGCAGGCAGGCTGTCATCAATCATTTCCTCAAGACTTTTAGTCAGTGTGTGCAATGAATGGCCAGTGTTTTACACAGTTTGCACTCTGATCAGTTCTCCACTGAGAGGATGGCAAGCCTTAGAATAGTCTTAACTAACCTGTTTGGATTGTATCTAATAATTTCTGGCGATCATAGTGGATGCTGCTTGGACACTGGTGAGTTTCATTCATTGTTTTTTCATCTTATTTTGAAACTTCTCAAATACGGACTGTAACCTTGCACACTGTGTGTTAGTTTGGCAGCCGCCAAGACCAAGCATCAGTCATTTGCAGGCTGTCAGTGGTGAGCAAAGCCTCTCTGTGAGCTGGCTGGTAAACCACAGCGGCTTAGTGGGTGTCGTTACTGAGATCCAGATCAGCCGCACTGAAAACTACACTGTCATTTACAATGTGAGTACTGGTCTTTTTTTTTCTCCTTCCTGTCTGGAATTTGTGCCATTTAAAGACTATATACATTTCAGTCCTCTTGTGGTGTTGATTATCCTACTTTTAATATTTACTATGGTTATAGGTCATCACAAATGCCTATAAAATTTGGGTACAATTTTTCCCCATCTTGGTTAATCCAGGAAAATGTCAGTGCACCCACTGCAGATTTAAATAGATACACGTGGACATGGACTTCTGCTTTGCCCCTGGAGTGTGTTGATCATTCAGTCAGGATACGACATTTCTACAATCAGTCTGTCCCGAGTCCCTGGAGTGACTGGGTAACTAACTATGGTGAGATGATGCCATTCTAATCCTTAATTGTTAGTATAGGTGACTAAAACCAAATCGTAGAAATAGTTTCTTGTGTACACTGTTCCTCTGATATGAGCTTAACATCTAATAAGCACTACTTGTTTTCTCAGCAAGAGTGAAGCTCCCATCCCTTGAACTGATCGCTGTACAGTATCAGTGTTTCTCATCTGTTATGCTGTTTGTCATAGGCATTGCAAAAGTCTGTTGCAATCCAGCTCCTAGTCAAATCAAGCCCATAATATGATTGGTTGGGTAACATTTTTATTGTTTACAACTTTTGGAGCCATTATCCAAAATACCTATCCAGATTTTACTTCACTCACTCGTGTAGAATCTTGTACTGAAGGTTTAGTGGTCCTAGAACGTGCAAGGGATGATATACACAGTATGCAAAGCTGGTCGGATCCTCATCAGACTGCACTGTAACTCTACTCTGTGACCTGTAGGTGTTGAGGCAGAGGATAAGCCCAAGATCTTCCCTTCTGAGAGGGTGCTGAAGGAAGCCACCAGCGCCATGTTCTGCTGTGTTCCCCGCGTTGGAGTCCATATCGCCAAGTTGACATTCAATAATAGTGTTAAATACCGTCTCATCAGCATTGGGGCCAGAGTCGGGGCTATTGCGGTAGACAACCTTACAATCCCCAAAGCATTCATAAATGCAGTGCTACTCAGTTGCACTGATACATCAGGCAGGAGTAATCACACCTGGAACTATGTCAGTTGTGAGTTTGTATTATTGTAATTTTTGTTTATTCTTGGTGGTATAAAATTATTTTCACAAAGCATTTCCTACCTGTACTGTAGTCCCTCCCCAGAAGCCCAGAAACCTCAGCTGTATGACCTCAGACATGACATCTGTCACGTGCACATGGGATCCAGGCAGAGAACGACCCAGATATGATAAAAACTCTGAAACACACACACTCCACATAGTGTAAGAACACACATTACCAAATATGCAGGATGTATTTGTGGTCTTATGTTGAGAATGTCAAGCATAGATGGTAGTGTTTTTGTAAATGCTGGTCCAACGTGTTCACTTACTCTTTAAGATTATGTGAAATAATGGTGTGTGTGACTGTCATGTGTACAACTGAGAAACCCTATTTGGTAGAGTAACCAGACAATAGGTATAGCACGTCAACAAATAAGGATATTATAAAATTCCAAACAATTTTGTTGAATGTCTCATGAGTCTTTTCCATTTGCTTTCTTTGTTGCTGAAAACAAAGGAACTCGGACCAAGCTCCCATCACATGTGAGCCGTCATCTTGTACTTTCTTGGTCGTCCCACACTTAGACGAATACAACATCAGTGTGGTGGTGAAGAACCAGCTGGGAGAGGAGATGAGGAGCTACAGCTTCAACATCTCTGACAGAGGTCATCCAAACATCTGAACAGAATATGGAATAGACACATGTTGTTGTTATACATTTTCAGTTGTGTTTGTCAAAGCCTAAAGACTCGACATACACAAATACATTTTATATGCTAACATCTTGTATTTGAACATCTGAAAATTAACTTTTGACAAATGTGTGGATTTGATGTGTGTTCACGTTAGTGTTTCCTGTTGTGGAGTGGGACATAGTGAGCCCCGGGGTGACAAACGCCACTGTGTCCTGGATCTTACAGGGGAATTTGACTCAACTGAACTTCCTCTGTCAGGTCGCTACAGACCCACATGGCACGACAGAGGTGAGTTTAACCTAGTTTCTAGCTCGAATATACTGCAGAATTGGAAGTATGGCATTTTAGTGCATGTGCGTTTATCTTTCATGTGTGTGTTTGTAACAGCTCAGCTGTGATCGTCACTGCAAGGTCACACTGGAACATCTGCTTCCCAGCACCCATTATTCTACTAAAGTACGCTGCTCTGCCCGTGGCAGGTTCTGGGGAAAGTGGACAGGGCCCGTGTCCTTCACAACCTGTGAGTACACAAAGTGTGTATTGCCAATATAGTATCTTTGTATACAGGGTGTGGTCAAGTCCTTTCCAAGTTCACTGAAGTTTAAGACCAGACCAAGACAAAATCAGGTAATACATTATCCTTCAACACTGATGAACCCAGGATACTGTGTAACCACAGTATCAGACTTAGCCAACATAATTACCAGGAAAGAAATACAAGTCCTACACATCACAAAGATGGTTCACACCAGACTATAAACTACTGGCAGTATTATACACTTAGTATACAACATCTACTGTATACTGGTTTTGATGCTGAATGAATAATCATCATGTATTTTCCTCAGATCCTTTAGGAACATTGAACTTGTGGAGGAGAATAAAGCAGCTGTCTGACCCGAACAGTCGTTGGGTTACTTTATTGTGGATACCGGTGAGACTAAGCTTGTTTTATATTTTGGCACAAATATTCATGTAATAGCACACAAACATATTTGGTTTAATTAAGTAAATAGAGTATGTGTCTCCACAGCACAAACCTTTTCCAACTTTCATGAACACCTCTGTTTTCAGCATATTTCTGGCTCAGCAAACATGGGGATCATCCAAGGCTATACAATTCAGTGGTCGCAGGAAGGCCAAAACAGGACAAAGTGGATGGACAGTGGACAGACCAAGGCAGAGATCTCTATTGGTCCAGGACGGTGCGAATTCATTGTCCAGACTGTCCTCCAGGACGGTCTCGCCATCCCCGCTCGCATCACCATCCCAGAGATGGACGTTAAAGGTGAGCAACATAGGTGGAGTCAGCTGAGGTTCTCTCAGTTCAGTCAGGATTATTCATTAAACAAAATCTTTTTTTCTCATTCAGAGTGTAACAAATCCAGATGTGTGACATAATTATACATGTTAAATGCTTTTGTTCAGAAAACCTTCCAGTAGAGAAGCGGTTGAGCAGTGGCATAGCTGGTAGTTTCAATCTGTCTTGGGCTGAGCAGGTCACTGCCACTTGTGGCTATACAGTGGAGTGGTGCACCCTGGGAAACACAGCGCCCTGCACTCTGCAATGGATGAGGATACAAAAGGGAAACAGCACTTTATTCCTACCTGGTGGTGAGTTTTTGTTTTATTGTTTTCCTGTAACGGTCACATTAAGTGCATTATTTAGTTTCTCCTGTTTTGGTATTTATTATGATACACCTTTATTTTGCAGAAAATTTCAAAGCAGGTTGTAGGTATACATTTAATATCTATGGATGCACAGAGAATGGGCACAGACTACTGGAGATACAGACTGGATACTCACAAGAACTCAGTGAGTGTTATTACTGAGATGTGCTGGAAGTGTGTGTGTTTTAAACTGGACAGGATGGTGAGACATACTGTACTGCAGGAGAGACTGGGTCCTGAGCAAATGGCTAAAAATGAAACTCTTAACAAGGTGTGACTGATAAAGTTGTGACACAGGATGTTTTCATCAGAGGCACTGACAACATCTTCCAAGTATCATCAATACACAGGACATCCGTTTTCCTGTTTGTCATTTATGCAGAGAGAAGGAAGGCTAGAGGGAGGGAGACTCGAATACAGTACAGTACAATACAAATTATATTGTACTGAATGACATGCGAGCAAAACACCAGTATTTTTTTAAATAAGAAAACAACCATAGAAGTCAAATCCATGAAAATGCAAAGCAGCTACTTTCTATCAGATCAGAACTTTTGCAGCAGATTCTTACATCAGCACATGTTCATATGGGTTGAAGCTGCATTAATTCTTACTGATTTTATCTCTTCCTTCCTCAAAACCACCTCTTTTTTTCAGATCCTGTACAGTCCCCGAGTTTGGTTGAAGCTGTTCAGAGCAGTTCCTCATCTGTGACACTGGAGTGGCATTACAATGAAGATGACCCAGCTCATCCGGCATTCATCACTGGTTACTTGGTTATAGCGCAGGAATTAGGATCCCATATGCTGCCAGGTTCTGCTGCAAGTGGGTGTAGAGGAAAGCTGCCAGTTTAATAAGGCTTGATTTCTTTCTGTTTAAAGAATGAAATGACTGTTCCAAACAATCATGTATTTACATTGGTTCTAATTCAAATAATTCATTGGAAGAAATCTCAGATAAACACTAGTTTGAGTCGTACTTATGTTGTGATGCTGCTTAACACTAACCCTAACCCTAGCCTTTAATAATTGTGTGTATTTTTAGATATGTTCAGAGTATCAGTGGAAGACCCTGGCAGGAAATCTGTGACCATAGAGGGTCTGCAGCAGGGCCGTGAATATGCTTTCTCTGTGAGCGCTCTCACTAAGTGGGGGCCTGGACAACCAGCTAGTATCACCGCCAGGACCAAAACTAACTGTGAGCCTCATAACATGCAACAAATCAGCATGATCAGTTAATTTTACAGTTTTCTCTCTTAAACTGTTGACTAAAAGTTGTCAAGTTGCAGCACACAAACCTAAATCTCTATGTTGATGGTGTAAACTGCTTCATCCTCTTTCCTATGGTAGACTCTGCTTACTTGGCAAAGATACTGACACCCATCTTTTTGGTGCTGGGCTGCACCATTCTCCTGTGGCCTCAAAGAAAAATGTGAGTAACCTGATCTTAAATATATACAGTATATAAAACACATGTAAGGTGGCAATGTTGATGACCAGACCAAATTTCATCCAGATTCCAGATCTGACGGCCATTTACGGCTAACAATAAAAACCCCATTTAACACACATTTTCTGCCATAACCTGGCCTATAATGAAGGTGAAAATGTGAAATGTTCAAGTAAGATGCACACTATAACTGCCTATGAAACCCTAAAAGATCAGGATCAAGGATTTTAGGACCCATTTTGTGGTGTTCTGGATCTCTTTTTTTCACAAGGGACTCATTAGCATGAGCGGATGTTGTGCTTTGGCGGAGCTCTGAGTGTTCTTGTTGTGTTCTCCTGCCTTCCAGGCTGAAGGAGATGTTTGCTTATCCTGCTGGAATGAGCATCAAAACTTCAGAGTTAGAGACTTTCCTGAATCAGGTACAAATGCTGCACAGAGGAGTTGGTTAATCTGTTGTATCATGCTTAGCTGCTACTGTATGTGCTAACTACATTTAGTACATGTATTTAACTTGTTTTGAAAGCATGGAAATAATGTCAACAAACTTAATTTGGACTCTACAGCATCACTGAAATTTCTCCATCCAGTGGCTTCATTGTTTTATGGTTAAGACACACTTGTTTATAGTGATTATATATATATATATATGCCACTCTTTTTGCATTTTTTTTATTTGGCATTTCATTACTGAGTCATCACACAAATACTGTATAAGCAAATTACATACTGTACTGTAACTGAATTTTCTGATTGGTGTTTAGCACATGGATTCAAATAAACAATCAAAAAGCAACTCACTGGCTTCAAGATAATTAAAATAACCTTTGATTTGTTGATACAAAACTGGTTTTAAGAGTATTGGAAGCAAAATTCAGTATTTTTCAACATGGATCTTATTCTTACATTTGTCCATTATGATAAGTGTTGTAGAAACTTGTGAAGCACAGACTATGTGAAGAAAACTGTCACTTGGGGCAATGACCATGACCCTCTACAGAGTTCCAAAAATCTTCATTTGAACAGAAATAATTTCTAACATTTGAGTCTGACTGAAAGTAAAAGCTGAAAGAAATCCCTATTATAGAGAACTACAGTTTCCACTTCTGGGCTAGTTTAAGCACACGCACCAGTTTTGCCCCCTGCTTCAATTACCCAAACTCAGGCATAATTATTGGCCATGAGTTTACATTAATATAATGCCCTCTGCATGTTTGTACAGGCTGGTGTGAGTGTGCAGTCTCACAAGGTCGAGGACTGCATCAGCTGTGACATCGAGATCCTTGATACCCATCCTCCTCTGAACGAAACAACTACACTGACAGATCCTGAACCCCTGACTGCACCGCCGCCCTCTCCTAGTTCCCTCTCCTCTACTTCTTGTCACTTTCCTGTGTGCCACCCCAAGCAGTCTACTGCCCAGTCGGCCACTATGCTCTGCGACACACCGCCCCTTCGGCAAGTAACGTGCATCACAAATAAGATGTACTTTGATCCCATGGTCGAGGAAGTCTCTGAGCCGCAAAAAGTAGTGTTCAGTGACATTGAATTAAGCTTTGAACAGTCTGATTGTCTGGAGGGGCCGTGTAGTGTTATTTATGGTTATATTGCGAGTGATACTTTACAAGTATAAAGTCAAAGACCCTACAGTATGTCATATGTTTCATGTCTCCATTACACATATATACTGTAAATACATTTGCTAATTTGATATAATGGAAATCTGCAGCTTTCTAATGTAAATGCATTGTTTTGTATTTGTACATGTGGTTTCACTGGACAAATGCAGCTTTAACTCTTTATTGTAACAGTAGTGCAGAAGACAAACCAGCTGCCATAGAGTCCAAAGATGTGTCTGCTGATGCTTTTAGTGTATACAACAGTGTAAGAGGATTTCATTTTAAAGATTTTGCTGAACTAGAGATGTTATCTACAGGATGCAACAGGTACTGCTGATAAGGCACCAGAAGATATCAGGTGAATGAAGAAAACAGGAGCATGACAGAGAGGTGTGCATCTTTTTTTGAACTTTTAAAAGCTTTTTATTTCACTGAATTATCAGGGAGGAGCTGGTATGTATGCATTTATCACACTGACATTAAAGTTGAGAGAACAGACTGGTCAGTATTTCTTTGTAAACTTCAGCTCATTCCTCCCTCAGGCACGAGTAGGAGGTCTGTCGCAGAAATCTTCTGCAAACCTGCCTGAATTCCAGTAAATATGCAGCTCACAACCAGATATAACTAATTTAATTTTAAAAAATGAGAATTAATAGTTAGTCTTTATCTGATGTGCCATTGCCTTGTGCATTTCCAGGTGCCAAAATGAATCAGTGTTAAAAGAGACTTGTGCTTTAATCATTTCAAAGGCATCTGAGGAACTTGAGGTTGGTTATTGTTCTTACATGTGTAGCTTCATCAAGAAACTGGTTGAACAGATCTGGTTTACAGAATCTCCTACCCAAGAACAATGTGTGACTATGACCTTGGATTTGCTTTACATGGAAGGCCACTGGGGTATATAGTTTTTCAATTTTATTTTTACTTAAGACAAGTTTACAAGAAATGTTTTTACCTAGTAACTGTCAGCTGGCTGATTATTTGAGAAGTTGAGGTATTCTGAAAGTCGCCTAATATTTAAGTATATTGTTCTGAATTTCTGCAGCCAGTCTTTCCAGTGTAATCAAAACCATCTGTCCTGGTGTCAGTCAAAGCGATAACTGGATTACACAGGTCACATGATTAGCCTCACTTATTATTTTAACTGGTTCTGAGACAAGTAACTCACTCACAAATGAAAGAAAAGGAACTTTCTGATTTCATTATGGTTCCCACATGAATCCATTGTTAGGTATTTTTAGTCAGATAGATATTGGATAGATACTTTATGTATTAGAAATGTTTAGTGGAGATAGGATGTCTAGTTAGACTGTTAAATGCTTAGGCATGCTTATGAGTTTCTACAGGGTACATCTGGTCAAGGATAACTAGAGAGGAAGGTTGATGACTGTCAGCAGACAGGGTGTTTAATATTATTATTACGACGTGTAAAACTGTAGCCTTAGCCATAATATGTTCTTATGTTCAAGTCACGACATGTACTAGAGGTCGTGAGAATGTTTTTAGCTACACACCACTTAATCAACAGACACACACACACACACACATTGATTTTCCTCATGTTTTGACTACTGCTATGGCCAGCTGCAAAGCTGGCAACAGAGACGTCTCGGTTGACGTTTCTGTGTAGTATGGGGCTAGCCCAACCGAGGTGATATAATGTATAGGCCTGGTGGGTTCAGGGTCTTTCATCTTACATCTGCCTGCGTGCAGTTTGGAGGTGCAAGATACCTGAGTGTGTAATGTTAATTTTACCTGTGATCCTTTGAATAAATCAGCACTGTTTTGTAGTTACTTGGACTGACTCGTCTCTCAGAGTCAGTATGGTAAAAAACACCTGGTACAACACCATCCATGGTGTTTGACCTGGGGAAAATGTTTTTGTACCCAATAGTTTCCTCATTGTACACCTAAGGTAAA